CTTGGGGAGGGGGGTAGGGAGATGAATGTCCAAGATGATAGCCAAGTGGTCGGAGATGTGGAGATTGATGCTGGAGAGTTGTTGGATGGTGAGACCGGTGGAGCAGACTAAGTCCAAAGTGTGGCCATGATTGTGAGTGGGGAAGTTGACATGTTGAATGAGATTGAGGCAGTCCAGTAGATCAAGAAATTCAGAGGCATGTTTGCAGTTAATGTTGTCAATGTGGTAGCTGAAGTCGCCGAGGAGAAGAACAGAAGGTGAGATGGCTGAGAGCTGTGTGACAAAATCAGAGAAATCAGAGAGGAAAGATGGATTGGGCTTGGGAGGGCGGTAAATAACAGCAGTGACCAGGGGAGCAGGGCCGGGGAGTTTAAAAGCAATATGTTCGAACGACTGAAAGGAGGGAGTGAATATGATGGTGATTGTTAGGTCTCTCTTATGGACTTCCAGTGAGACGGGGCTGGTCAATATACGTGTATCCGGAGGGGGTGGCTTGGTTGAGTGAAAAATAGTCCAGATGTTTGTGCCAGGTTTCTGTGATGCAGAGGAAGTCTAGGTTGTTGTCAGTAATGAATTCATTTAAGATGAGTGCTTTGTTGTTGAGTGAACGGATGTTTAGCAGTGCCAGTTTGAGGAAATGCTGCTGTGCAATTGGCTGTGAGGAATGGGGGAGTTGGCGGAGGTTGGGGTTGGACCGTTTGACTTGTTTTATTGAGAGGTTACATTTGTTCACAGAGTTGGACCTATTATAGGGACGGAGTGGTCTGACTGAGATGATAAACTGAATGGGGAGAGCAGCAGCAGGTGGGGACAGTGACAGAGCAGCAGCAGGAGGGGACAGTGACAGCTCGGGCCTGTAGGAGGAGCTGTAGCAGGAGGAGGTACCCAGAGATGACACCAGAGAGCAAGACGGTGTGTGGGTAAACATCAGTCAGTCACGTGGGTAGCTTTGCACAGCGTGCTGTAAATTGGCAGCTAACATTTGGCTGCCCAGCCTATTGGGATGAAAACCGTCGCTTTTTAAAAAGGACTGTCGGCCCCAGAATAAATTAAAATGTTAATGTCAATGAAGCCCACATTGCATGTTCTGCAGGCAGATAGGAGCCATGTGTGAAGGGAAAGGATTCTGCTGAAGATTTCCACACCGCAGCCGAGAGGGTGAATACTGTCCAAGTGTGAAAAGGTCAACAGGTTCTCTAACCCATACAACCACATAGGTCATATGCTCCCACAGCCTACAGGAATGTTTCGTCAATAAGTGCCCCTACTGGTGACAGATTAGCTTGTATATGACCATTAATGGTCACAGTATTGTACACATAGTTAACATTGTGAAACGGTCACAGTTGCACCAAAACTAAGTGGTTAGCATTAAGCAATAAAACTCCTCGGTGTCGTTAAGAAAAAAGGGGCACGGTGTGAATACACTTACATTAATTACATTTTTTTCTAAGGTATCATAACGCTACGTATCTCATGTCATGCTATAAGTTACATACATCACATGGCATACATCACATCATGTGACATGACTTACTACATTACATTGTTTAAATGACTCAATGTTGACTTTTGGTTTTACATGGGACACGAACACCAGTCTTCTGGATGACAGTACTGTGTTTGTTTGAAGCATCCACGTAAAAGTGCATGTTGTCACTCTTTATACTCCATCACCTGACTTCTATAGTATAGAACAATATAGAATAATTACTACAGCCACTATACGTCGCTGCCTAACAAAAACAAAAATGTAAATATCAAAATTTGTACTTGTAAAACCAACCTATGTGATGGTGTTTTGGAGGAAAATGGTAGAATATTTTCCTTTACAGCCTACCTGATTGAAAAAAACACACTATGAATGCCTGTCTTTGTGAAACCCTCAAACCACTCACCAAATCTGTCGAAATCTAATGAAAAACGATTGTGCTCAATTCAACAACTGTGTGACTGGGTTAATAAGACAAAGCTTTAGGTCCCTCGATGCTTCCTGTCTGAAAACGTCAGTCCTTATCACCGACACCTTTCAATTACCCCGGCTGGCTCCAAGCCCCTTTTCTGTTTGTTTTCACTCCGTTCATTTAAGTGGGAACTCTAATGGCCCTCCAGGCCTCACACATTACATTTGCACTGTCACCATAAATGTGTTTACCTCAGTCCATTTCATTACTTTTGTGGTTGGGAGTGAATACAAAACTATACAGTATAAGAGTTCAGAAGTGTGACAGTAATTGGGCTCATTTTACAAACTCAAAAATATCAAAGATGAGTTGTTTTTTTTATATCTAAGTAAGGGTGAAATACTGCATCTGTCAGTGTAATGTAGATGATGTTGTGTCATGCTATGGAGAAAATGCTCAATGATTCGATGTATTTATGACGCTGTTTTTCAGGACAAAGCAACATGTTATCAACCTTTATCAGTCCCATAAGACACTGGGATACCGGACCATCTTCAGCCGAGGATGCAGACAATTCAAGTAAATCTTTTGTATCCCTTTTGCACTCTGACAATGTGTTTTTCTGCCAATATAACTGAAGATTTGAAAGATTATGATGACCACAATACCACAGGGGCTAAGTAACCAAGACACACTATGTGTTGAAATTTGGCCTTTCTGTAAGTGTGCAAGTTTGAGTAACATACTTATACTGTAAGAACATAATCACAGCCACTAGAGAAACTAGTGCTAGTTACACCCATAAGTCACATGACCCTCATCATACATGTCTTACTGGTCTCTCCTGAAACCACTGCAATTAAGTGGCTGTGATGGCCGAGTGGTTAAGGCGTTGGACTTGAAATCCAATGGGGATTCCCAGCGCAGGTTCAAACCCTGCTCACAGCGATTGAGAAAGAGAAACCTTTCTTTGTTTGTCTTCTCTATGTGTAACATTAGAGGAGCAACAGTGCAAAAAAGTCTTCATACACGGTATCAACGGAAACCTCCAGGGCTGAAAAATGAAGCCAGTTCCTTGAATGGCTTCAGAAGCAAGCCAGACCCCACAGACCCACATGTTAAAAGCCTGGTACAGAAAACAGCTTTGGCTTATTACATTTACTACATTTCATCTTTTGAAGTTTACACCTTGCTATATACTCCCAATTGCTAAGCAATTTATTTGTCCACTTTACAAATCACCCATACGGCATACATTAATTGCATTTTTAGACATGCTTGCAGCATAACTTTAAGGTCAATGTCAATGTCAGTTGGTTGTTTGTCCACTTTGATCTAGGCTGAAATATCTCAGCAGGTATTAGATGGATTGCCATGACATTTAGTACAAATATTATTGGTAGAGATAATGTGTGCTACTGACTTTGGTGATCTCCTGGCTTTTCCTCTAGCCCCACCATGAGGTGCACATTTGTTGCTCCATAACTGTTAGATGAATTTCTCTAACATTTTGTTCAGTCAGTCACAATCCCCTCAGAAATAATTATGATAACTTCGGTTTCCCCAGACTTTTCCTCTAGCGGAAAGTCAGTGCGTTAACATTTACTTCAGTGATCCAATAACAGTCGGCTATCCTTCTCTAGTCAGCTGATTTCTTGAATGTCATGTTAACAAGAAACCAGCGAAGATTTCTCCTGGATAATGTTCATTTATCTTCCATGCATGCAGATAACAGGGTTTCTAATTGGCTTTTTAGAAATACATACAGGGAAAAGTAAACAGCATAGAGGCTGGACGATAGAGCTCATTGCACTGAGCTACATGTTCAGTATATCAAATGATTCTTCTATCCAAAGACAAACTAGAGTATAACCGCTGAAAGCTCTACTCTGTTCTTAAAACACAAAAGCCATTGTTCCAAACATGGGGGTAGGTGAGAAATCTGATTACTGCCCTACTGCATGTATATGCAGATATACAGAAGCCTGGTTACTTAAGTCCATGTATATGCACTGAATGCATCCAATATTTTGATTAATGACCAAATACCTACAAAACTAATGACATACCCATCAGCCTCAGCTGTGCTTTGTGTTTTGTGTAAATGTTAGCATGCTAACACATTAAACTAATGGGCCTTTCAGACCAAATGCAACAACAGCAGCTCTACATTCTGAAACCCATTATTGCCAGTGGATTGTGCTGCACCAGAATGGCTTTTTGCTGCATCACGCAAAGCGCAATGATGCAGCAGGATGGTAAACATGCCGCTGTAGCATTTAGCCCACAAGTACTGTCTCACAGAGCAGTTAAGTATAGACTCCTAGTGTTGTTACTAAAAGCTCAGACACACCAAACTGATATCAAAGAACTAGTGGCGCTGAAAGGTTGCGTTGCCTCACCTTGCCTGTGACCTTGAGCAAACCAAGACTACAGCCAACGGCCAGCTAGCATGTGCGTTCTGCGCTTGTGTGAGAGAGAATAACTCTCCACACACAGCTGGCAGCAGTAGTCTGTATTTGTCATTCAAAAAGGGAAATCAGTAAACCAACAGGACGGATTCAAGACAGTAGTTATCTATTCAGCACATTAATAAAACAACCCAATGTTCAAAGAACAAAGGATATTTACCATGTGTCAGAAAACAGTAACACAAACAATAAGGAACCATTCTGCCAAAGAGCTCAATGGCTAAAAACTTACCTAATAAAACAGGTTGTTTTGATCTCACCCCCTCTTGACTTTTGCCATTTGTTTGCTTTCCTCACTTCTGTTTCTCATCTAATGCACTGAGCTTAAATGCCAATCAGAACAATTTCATTTAACATGCTGAACTGGCTAAAACGAAGCTGACAAGGACCAACAAGTGTCAATGGTGCAGGACACACCACCAAAACTACGGCAACAGACACTCACTGATGATCCCAACATTGGCCAACTGCTGACTGTTAGCATGATAGTGTCAGGCCCTTACATGCTGACAAAAGGTTCTAACATTCAAACGAAAAACACATTTTTTCTTCACATTTTGTGTCCTGTCATAATTTTGATCTGTCAACAGGTACAAGCAGTTTGGAGGTGAAAGAGAATCAGGATGATAAAAGCCAGGTGGACTGTGACCTCTTACGAAAGTATCATCCATCAACTTTTTACACAAGTTTCCCAAAACATGGACCAAGACCTCTGAAGAGGAAGTGGTCGCTGGTGGATGGAAAAGACCGCCTGCTGTACCAAAGCCATTTGACTTGTAAAAGAGCAGCCTGGGCTGTCACTCAGAAGAATGCACTGGTGCAGCTGAATGAGTTGCGACCTGGTCTGCGGTATGAGCTTATGTCAAAGACTGGCCCACTGCATGCTCCAGTGTTTTCTGTAGGTGTGGAGGTAAATGGTTTCCACTTTGAGGGTAGAGGACCAACAAAAAAGCAGGCCAAAATGAGGGCAGCAGAACTAGCTCTGCAGTCATTCATCCAGTTCCCAAATGCCTCCCAGGCTCACGCCACCATGGGGACCTTCACCAGCACTCCTGCAGATTTCACAGCAGATGAACTGGACATCCCTGATGCATTTCTCAAAGAGTTTGAGCCATCGCTGCTTAAAAACTGTGATCTCCTGCACTGCAACACAGCAGAAAAGCAAGTTTTCTCCAGCATTTACAAGTACAGGCGACTTGTCCGACTCACACTGGACTTTTTCTCAACCAATCCAAAAAGAAGACCCCTTAGCACCTCATTCTCAGAGCACCTCAGCCCAGTGGCCCTGCTTAACGAGCTGCGACCAGGACTCAGGTACATGTGCCTGACAGAGAGACTTCATGGCAGGCCAATGAGGAGTTTTGTCATGGTGGTTAGGGTGGAAGGAAGGGTCTTTGAAGGATGTGGTCACAGTAAAAGGCTGGCCAAGGCTCAGGCAGCCGAAGCTGCCCTGCAATCTATATACAATATCAATCTGGGACCAGAGAGGAAGATCTTGGGCTTCCAGGGCAGCAGGACCCAACATCAGCTACCTCAGGTGAGTAGGTCAGTCTTCTGTTGTTGTTGTGTTGGCATTGTGTCTTCACTGTTAGAAAGTCAAGGGTTCAGTGCTAACCAAGAACTTTTTGTATGGAGTCTTTTTTCCCTGCCTCCTGTATAATATATAATGGAGTAGCCTACACAACGCTGTGACACTTAACAGGATAAGTGGTGTAGACAATGGGAGGATAGATGTCTGCATTGTTTTTATGTTCCCAGAGTCCTACGTTCCTCAGCTAAATATCCTCTTAAAGGGATGGTTCACCCCAGAATCTAATATTTTGGTTTAGTCCAGATCTCATTTGCCTGGTGATTAACCTTGTAAGTCACTTTCTCCATGTTTTTTGTTTATTTTATTTAAATATTCCGTTGGCTTGTCTGTTATGTTATACGTTGAGGGATGAAGTCATTTTCTGTGCAACTTTCCTAATAGTGTCTTTGGTCCCCTCAGAATTGCCTGCTTTTGACCCCAACTAGAGTTTGCATATGAAAAGTGGTGGAATCAAAGACCATTTTCATTCAACTCCTGAAGGATAAAAAAACTTTGCAAATTAATAAAGAACAAAACATAAACAGAAAAATCTAAAAAGGTGAGGTGTAGTTTGTTTCCATTTGCAGGCAATTGTCTGGTCAGCATTTTACACAGAGTATGGAGAAAGGAGACAGACTCGGTGTATCAGTAAAATATCCCTTATTCTGAAACATCAGCAGTGACACTGAATTCACCACTTATCTCTTTAGCTTTCGCCAGACTTCTAAATGGTCTGGATAAATGGGTCTGAGGTGCGTCGTATGCTACCAAATGGAGTGTGCCGCACATCAGCATGGCCATCATGTCCTGAGGCCTGAGAGCTGGATGGTAGTCCTGTATGCATCGTCTGTAGCATCTAAACAACTTCATTATGTCTCTGAGCCTCAGAGAATTGTCCTCGACGTCTTTTGCTGTCATGCTTTATGAATACAAGAACATTTGTCTCCAGAGATCGGCTCCACAGAGCTGAAGGGGGTGACTGAGCATGGCTAATGCAGAGCCACACTGTCATCCAAGTATGCAAAGGAATATGAAGTTGTTAGACAGACATGTAGATATTTTATGAGACCCTGGGGGGTGCAATGGTAACATTTTGGTTGGGAAAAAAGCATTTTGATGCTCTGAATTTGATCAAAAGGGTGATTTCACCCCGCACCATAACTTAACAATTTGCAGAAGCTTCCCTCCTCCTCTTTGTCTAGAAGATGATTTTTTTTTACAGCCTCCCCGACTGATCATTTAGCATCATCCCCCCTTCAATATGAACTGTCTGTCAGGCGGTGTGACGCATTAATGAACATTATTACAGCACATTAGGGATGAAGGAGGAGCGGCAGCAGACCGAGGAGACAGAGGTGGAGCGGGAAGGCGGTGTGAAGAGCATAATAATCTGACAGATAATTGTTTAACACACCTATTACACACGACCTTGTGCCACTGTCATCCAGAAAATGTTGAGCCAGAGAGTTTCACTCCCAAAAAAACCTTCAAACACCTGCTCTTACAAAATGAGTTAAGGCATAGTAAGAGACACTGACGTCATGTCTTGGTAACATTTCTGGGAGTTTGGGGCAGTTATTGACATGAAGAGTTGAAATTCTGCACATATATTCCACATGTTGGACCTCCTCATAAATGTGGACGTGTGCTGCCTTTTTCTTTGAGAAATGTCTAGCAGCCGTCTATGTAAGTGTTGTGTTAAAAGCTTTTTCCACTGCACCCTGGGTAGCAACAATAATCATTAATGCAGATTTAAGATGTCTGCAGTTCTCAGACACATTCAGAGGAGCCTTTGACATGAGTCAGAAGTTACGACAAACAGTATCTCATCTGGAAATGCGAATGTTGTTGGAGATGTTCCCTGATTAGTATGCAGAAGACATGTAAAATTTAAATAGATATATAATCCCATCATCACAAATGTGTTTGTCCCACATGAAATTATATCCACTTTTATTCCTCATGTAATTAAAGCTGATGGAGATGATGATCATGTATGAGAGTGCCATAAGTAGTTTAAAGTCTAGACAGTCAATAGAACACACTAATCAATCATTAATTATTTGCAGCTTCTAGTGGACTCAGTTCAGACTGTCAAATATTTCATTTGCTTCCTCCAAATGGAGGAAAGAGACTGATGGACAGAGCTGTCTTGTTTTCTATCAAATATTCAGCATCAAATATTCTATCTATCTATCTATCCATCTATCTATCTATCTATCTATCCGTCTGTCTGTCTGTATACATATGATAAAATGGTAAGTTGGTTTCAGAGAGTTCTTTGACTGACCGCATGCAATTTGTCATATGTGCATACATTTCTGATCCTGTTGGTTTAAATGAGGGAGTTCCCCATAGCTCTATTTTGGGGCTTCTACTCTTTTTATTGTATGTCAATAATGTTTGTGACCAGATGAGGCCCTTACTGAACCATATGTATGCCGATGATACAGCCCTGTGTTCTTCTGCTCCTCCTTTTGAGAATGCGGTTACCAGTTCGCAGATGGATTTTAACTCATTGGAGAATGCTCTTGTTGACCTGAAACTGCTTTTAAATGCAACACAACGAAGGCAATGCTATTTGCACCCTGTAATACTAAGGTTCTTCCCTCTCTATTAAAACCCTTAAAGGTGTAGGTTTTGAGTTTGTTAATACATATAAATATCTGGACATTTGGTGGGACATAAATCTTAATTCTAAACATCATGCTGGAAATTTTACTGAGAAACTCAAGGTCACACTGGGTTTCTCACAGAGATTAAAGTCATGTTTACTCAGGGTACAGGACTCATCGCTTCACTTTGTACAATCTGATAGTTCGCTAGCTATTTGCGCGATATAGCTCTGGTATATTTAATGTACAAGGTCACTCTAGGCAAGTTACCCATGTACATATGCTCTAAGTTTGTATTTGAACAAAATACCTACAACCTTAGATCCAATATTCTGTCCATGCTTCCTAAGTCCTTACCTCAAACTGTTCTTGCTACAGTGCAACAATTTTGGTTTTGAAGCCTTATTCACTTTATGTAATGTACACTATGTGTATACATTCAACTTTTTCTTTTGATGCATGGACATTTGTTTTTATTATATATATATGATCTTGTCAAAAGCATCATTATCATCAGCTCCTATTAAGTCTCTTCACACTTGTTTTGTAAGTGATGCTCCTCTTGGCATTTCATTGAATATAATAAATAGCAACTAACTCAAAGTTTCTGTAACATCGCTCAAAAAGAGTGACAGACCTCTAAAAAATATAATTAGCCATATTTTGACAAGTAGGAATGTGACACCTCTTCCTCTGCACACTGGGGGAGTTCATTGACAGACTGTCAGACATTTTTTGGCCAGCCTCATACTCATGGTCCAAGCGAATGTCACAGCTGTTGGTACATGCCTGCAGACTTTGTTTCAAAGTTTTCCGTGTTTTTGGGGTCTGTTGTCTCAAGAAAATATGACAGCAGAAGTCACAATGTCTTCAGGTTTAAATATAGGCTTAACAGAATGTAGCAGGCAGTGTCTACAGGCAACTGTTCATGTAAAGTGTAGAAACATTAAGCAGTAATAGCATTAGTAAGTTTTCAACAAATAGAGAAGATTTAAGGGGGAATAATTTTCTTTGCTTCACTTGGCATTTGCAAATATTGTGTTAAAAGGGTAAAATAGCTTTGATAAACCTTATGAAGCATTTATTTGCAGGTGCACTTTTTATTTCTTGGTATTTGGATATACAAAATATTGTAACACTTTTTAAACAATGTGTTTAACATGATAATTACCTTGGGTTTGTTTTATATTTCTTTTTTGTTTTTGCTCTTTGTGTTTCTCTAAGAAGTACTTAAATGTTCATCACAACTTACTTTTTGTCTTTTTAAACCAGCATAAAAGGGTGACAGTGAGCATCCAGTTTGTTTGGCTTTTTTTTTCATTGCTAAATGAAAAAAAAGGTAAACAATGAGGACAGCAGGACCCTAAATTCCTGAAATGGAGAAGAGTGTTGCTATTATTTACATAACAGACAATCTGTGGGAGCTCACTTTTACTTATGAAATATTTTATATAAATGTATGGGACTTTGTTCCTGACCTGTTCCAACCTGAAGGACAATATTTGATATAAGGTAGCAAGAAGAGTCATTTGTTTTACAATTAATTTAAAAATAGAAAAATTAAACTATTAAAATCCTTATCCTCATAACTGCTAAGATAAAAGTTATGCAGTTATGTGATTATGGATGTGACCAGAAACTTGGCAACAAGGTACCAGAAAGAGCACTTTGAGTTAAAGGAGAGAAGCAAAATATGAGCAGCAGGTTTGTAGGCAGCAGATAACCCAAAGGGAGGTTACAGGAGGAGACAACAAGGGAAGAGGGACAGGTAAAAATGGCTGGACCACTAAGATAGGTGAACTGCAAACACCCCGGTGTGTGCTTCTCAAAGTCAAGAATGCTTCCTTGACAGGACAGGTCTATCTAAGGCGGTTTCTACAGAGGTTAGGCAAGACTCCTTTCTAGCATTCAGTGAACACATATTAGAACAGGCTAGGGAGTGGCCAGGTGTGAGTCGTTTAAGAGGCCCCACCTTCAATTCCTGCAAACCGTTAGCAAAGAATTGTAGGTACTTTTTGCCCACTGAGGATACACACATGCATCCTTACAAATTCTCTGAAGGAAGGATTTGGTCTTTGATCAGACAAAATTTAAAGGGGGTGCCACACCTGGCCACAAAGCATCTGAGTACCATCAAGAATGAATCACTGTCCACTGAAAAGAGAAGGTCTAGAGGTCGAAGTCAACACTTGAAGATGACCCCATCTCTTTTTGTTGCTTTGTCCATGCTTTACTAAGAAGGACCCAAAACAATCTACACCAGCAGAATAAAAAGGCCAATTTCAAGAGAAAGGAGCCTTACAGGAGGCAGGTCAGCCATCTTTGGTCAAGGGGGTATTAACTGCTCATTAAACTGGTAAACTTAGCTGCTGCAACTGTTTCCTCCTCTTTCCTCTTCACCTCCCGTATTTCCTTCACCTGCCTGGTAACTGCAGGATGGCACTAATTGGCTGCAGCCACTGAAGAGCATGTGGGGAAGGGGGACAGGGGAACAAGTGCACTCTCACCTCAAGAGTCCTTTTAACAAGAGGAGAACACCAAATAGACAGAGACAGAGAAGGCATCAAATGAAATGAAAATTATTGTTTTGTTTTTGTTTGTTCCATCCTCCATTGTTTAAATCTGTCTCTACCATTTCTTCCTCTGCAGTTCTTCGCAGAGTCGATTTTCCACCTGGTGAGAGAGAAATACACAGAGCTGACAGACAGTTCTTTTTCTACCTCACAAGCCCGCCACAAGGTCCTGGCAGGGGTTGTAATGACCAGAGGTGAGTGGTAGAGACACTTTGAGAGGAAGTCACTGTCATGAAAATACACAAAGAGTAAACAAATCAAATACATATCCTGTTGTTGACAAGATCATGTTATTAAAAGAGTTTCAGTCAAAGCTCAGACAGTGGGAAAACATGATGAAAATTTTACATTTCTGTTTAATTCACTCATTATTAAAGGACTCTTAAGTCTCCTCGTCGCTCTACACAGATCTGATGATTTTATTTGCCAATATTTTTCATCATTCATGGAATCTTTGGTGGACGTTTGAGTCTCATGCTTCATGTACGCTTTTTTCAATTTCATTTTATCCCATATACTTTTTATTGAAACAAGTTTTCCACCTCAGTCAAGCACAAAACCCATTTGGGGGGATATTTCAGCTTTTTCTTTTCTTGTATTCTTGGCATTCACATTCAGTGTGTCTACATGTAGAAACATGTTGAAATTAAGACTTTTTAGGCCTTTTAAATAGCACTTAAAAGAAAATGTTAAACAAAATTGCGATGGAAACACACACCAAAAGTCAAAAAATATACTCTCCTCAAGGGGCGCTACAAAGTTCCTTCTTTATGGCTCCTTTGTATTTTTACACAGAACCAAATAATGGCAGCATCATTCTACTCCAGTGTGTAATTTCACACTGCATCCTGTCTTCCTGCAATCAAAAGAGGCATGACAGGCGTGACATGTAACACAACAGCATTGGCCTCTAGTGTGACATATAACATATGCATTGGCAGCACCTTCTAAACAACAAAAACAATGGCATAACATGCCAGTCACAATCATTTTCCTTCTTTGTTATATGGCAGCTGATATCATCCTCTGCTTGGAGGGTAAGGACCTCCCGAACCTCATTGTTTTCCTGATTTGCGGACATTTACGGCTGCTGTTCTTCCTCTTTGAGTTAGCCACTAACTGCAAACAGCTGCTTTTAAATCTCCAGTGGTGGGATGCCAACATAATACATAATCAAAACACCACATCTGTTTCACCCATGGTCATGTCTTTTCAGCTTTACATTTTACACAGATCTCATTTCGGGGCTGTTACTACCTCTGTTCCCGGCTCAAAGGTAAGACAACTCTGTCTGCCTTCCCCAATCGTACCTCATAAACACAATGGCAAGGTGGCAGAACAGCACAATATTCCTGCCTTGAACAGGCAGTGTAAAAGTGACTTTACTTTTTGTGCTAACTGCTCTACATGTGCGATTCTACGTCTTGATCCCCATTGTCTCAACTGTGAAACAACTCCAACGCTTTGTAAGCATTTCCAGGCACCAGCATTAACCATTTCCCATTTCCACAAAATGTGTATCTGAGATATTTTAAGACTTTTTAAGGCCCTGGTCACCCTGCCACTAGCAGGAAACTGCAGACAGACATACTTAGAGACTAACTGGTGAACATAGTGGAGCATTTAGCAGCTAAAGAGACAGATATTACCCTTAGGAGTTGGTAGAGACCAAAATCAGAGCTAAAATAAAGTGAATATTGGACTAACATTCATCAGGTGGACACAAACACCAGTCCTAATTATTGATTATGTTGCTCTGGAACTGCTGGATATCTAAATAAGCAAATTCACCCTGTCAAGTTAAAGTGGAAATAGACAAGTTTTTGCTTTTATTTAAGGCTATAAAGTAAATGTGGATTGCGCAATGTAATGGTTGTATAACAATGACACTGTACCTGTTTAGATTGGTGCCATTGTGGAGCCAAAACATAACAAGGATAGTACTTTTGTTTTCTTCCCAGTAGTTATCAGTAGTTATCCACAGTTACTAAAGAGAATTAGTGTTACTGTTCCCAGTAGTGGAAATGGCGGATGTTAGAAAAAAACAAGGCAACTCTGGAAAGTCTATCTGGCAAAAGAAAAAGAGCCGAGTTGCTTTGAGGAAAACAAAAAGTGATCTGGTTGTCTTTGTCCAGTTTTGAAAGGTGATATTTCACTGTCAACACAAGTATCAAAACATTTCAAATGATATCCAACTGCCTGACTTCATCAGTTGAAATTCAAAGAAAAAGGTGTCAGAATACCGCCAACGCAGTGTTTGAGTCACATGAGGGGTGAAGAAACACTGCAGATGTTCTTTATTATCACTTTAAAAACAGAGATGAAAATATTTTGCTACTTGTCATTTAAAGCAGACATAACAGTGCAGGAGCATCTGAATCCTTCTTACATGAAAATATGCCACTGCAATTCAAACAAAGGAGTTACCTCAAAGTACCCTGCCAATCCAGAGGGAAGACAATCATCTTTACCGTCCTGTGAATCTTTCATGAGGCCAGATTGCAACACAACAGCATGTTTTTGAGACGTTGGAGTGATTGTTCAGTCATACACTTTTCATTAGCTCGTCTCAGCCTGTTAACATTCTAGTTATGATGGGACATTGAGGCGAGGGAGAGCAAAGAGAGAGAGTCAAATGTGGCGTCTTGTTTGAACTGCATCTTGTTGAATGACTTGTTCCATCACAGTGTCAATCATTTGCACAACAATTCACCACAAATCTGAGCTGCTACAGATGTTTCTTATTTTCCCATCTGTTTTTTCAAGGATTTGACCTCAGATCAGCGCAAGTTGTGTCTCTGGCCACAGGGACTAAGTGTCTGGACTCGGACAATGTAAGTGACCGAGGCAGTACACTCAGCGACTGCCACGCTGAAGTTGTCAGCCGGAGGGCGCTGGTTCGATTCCTGTATGCTCAGCTGGAGCAGCTACTCTGGTACGACCCTCAGCCCTGAACCTGAAACTAGTGTTTGGTTTGTTTTTGTTGTGTAGTCTTTTCTTGATGGGGCATTTGCCTGCAAATGACAATTAAAATTTGAGTATTTTTAACTCAGGGTGTTTTTCTAATTTTCACTTTGATTGCTGCCTACAATCACCTAATGTCACAGAGAACTGAATCTATGTTATCTTTAATATTTTAGGGTCTGTGAGCTTTATCTGCATGGGTTGATGAGCTTTCCAATAATTATAAACTGACTGATTGTTGAATAATTATTGAAGTTTCTCAACAGGGATCAATAGAGTTTAATCTATCTTGTTTTCAGTTTGTGCAGTCAGTGTTTTGTCAGAAGTTGGTCTTGCTTCTTTCACCCTGTCTCTGTCTCATGCTGGACTTCTCTGTGTCTTTTCTCCCTGAAGTAAGCCAGAAAACTGTGAGGAACAATCGATCTTCATACCAAATAAAGGTGATGGCGGAAGTGGCTTCCGGCTGAGTGACGGCGTCCTCTTCCACATGTACATCAGCTCTTCACCGTGTGGAGATGCTCGACTCAACTGCCCCTACGAGACCACAGCTGCATGTGAGACCAGCACATTTAGACGATGGTGATGATGATGATGTTGATGATAATGTCAAAAATACATCACGAAACATTCCTGCTTCTATACCAGATCTAGATGCACATTTTCCTCTTTAGTTTTTTGTATCAACAATATGTACTTTGTTGTAGACACATACTGTAATACCTTTAATAATCTATTTGTTCTGCAGCTACTTATATTCTGCTGCACAAGCCCACTAACCTCAGACAGTTTCATTAATTTTTAAAGGAAAAATCCACCATAAAACACTTAAGCTCTGTGAAAACATTAATTAATAAGTACCAGAACTTCTGGCTTTATTAAACAGCTTAGCTATGTTTCCTCTTCTTGAAGATGACTGAATATAATTCCATCTACATCAACATATTTTTAAGAACTATAAATCAAAAGAGTTAAAAATTAAAGAGTGAGAACTTTTGTCTAAAGCTGCCATTTTGCAAAGAAGAATACTTAGACAGGGAGGAATCCATCACAGGTGAAGAAGAGAGTCACAAGATAAGACAGAATAAGAAGAGCTGTGTAAACATAACATTCACAACCAGTCTGTAAAAATCCTGAGCGTTCTGGGTAATGTAGGAACCAGGAACAGAAGTAGGGACTGCTATTCAGGTCAAAGGTATTTTTGGTGTCTTATAAGTTCATATTGACTGGGTTATTGTGAGTAATCACTTATGTTATGTACTTGTATGTGCATGACACAAATTACTACTATGAGTAGCAGTAGATGAGGAAAAGTGACTGAATAAAACAAATTAGAGTCATACTGTTAGCTTGGCTAAAAACAAAAAATAATTCTGAACATGATGATTAAGTAATATTCAGGGTGTTCCTCAAATGGCTTGCTCAAGAGCATTTCAGCAGTGACAGCCGTCTAAGTCTCCATCTTCAACTTTTTCTTCTCGTGTCAGATCCCAGCAGGAGGTTCCACTGTCAACTCAGGGTGAAGGTGGACGGAGGCGAGGGGACGCTGCCCATCACGACGCGAACAGCCAATCAGAAGTGGGATGGTGTGGCACCGGGTAAACCTCCTGTCACTATGTCCTGCACAGACAAGATGGCAAAGTGAGTTTATAATCAACCCTGGAAGGTGTGTCCTGATATATTATTAAATATGATGTTTTATTTTAGCTGATAGTGTATCAAAATCTGCATACATTATTTTCAAGTTGTATTATTTTTTTAAGGATAATTCCAGTTTATTACAAATTGGGTCTTGTTTTTGTTGTTTTGGACATCATTTATATCAACTTATGATTGACTGAAACTGTCAGTTAGAAATGTTCATTGCACTTTACGGATGGCTCTCATCTTAAACCATTATTACCAAGGTTTTAGCTACAGTCACTTTAAGTTTTACCTGTAAATAAAGTTGTTTACAAGCCAAACAAGGCAACATATAATCTGGATAAACTGTTGGTTCATTACCTGAATCATCATTTTTGAATTTCTTGACACATTTGACTTCTTTATAGTGACATCATAGTGTTACCAGATCTCAGCAATAACTAACCTACAATATTATTACAAATATTAAGACCAGGGACTCTATAAAAGAAGTGGAGGTAGCCATTGTGATGTCACCCATTGGTTTGTGGACTACTATTTTGAAGCCTTGAGTGTGGCATTTTGGCCCTCACCATCTTGTTTTTTTGGGAGTCAAAAGTGGCCATTTTTGGACGAGAGGGTGGAGTTGTGGAGGATACTCAGTGCTACACTTTTAGTCTGATTGACAGGTTGCCGTGGTAGCCACTTTTCTATCACAAGGTAGCCACGGCATAAAGCATACCCTGCTTTAGTCTCCTCTAAATTGGACCATAATTTACAAGATGAACACCATGCTGTATCGAATAAGACTCAAAACTAGCAATTTAAACAATAAACTTATGAAGAAAATATTCAATGAGATAATGGATCTAGTGAGAAGTAGGGTCATTTTCTCTTAGACTTCTATACAATCAGACTTCTTTTTGCAATCAGTGGAGTCGCCCCCTGCTGGTCATTAGAAAGAATGCAGGTTTATTGCACTTCCTTGTTGGCTTCGCTTTTCAGACCTGAAGATAACACCTTGATTATGACCCTATATGGAATGAAGTGGAGTTATCCTCTAATACATGTCAGTATTTGTTAATGACTGTTCTTCTCCAGTCAGACTGAAAGTACACAAAACTGCACTGGGTCACCTTAATTTTGAGAAACAGTTCAAGTCAGTCAAAATTCAAAGCCCTAAAGATGAAATGAAATAGCAGATTTTGTCAACTATTTTGGTTCCAAACATGGGTTATAATCTATGAACTCCCATTTACAAAAAAAAAATAAATAAATAAAAAAAATAAAAAAACAAGTTCAGCCACAGTTCACCAGTTCATCTCACCTCTCTTTTCTCTCTTCCTCTTTTCTATTTTTCCTTTTCCTCTGAAAGATCTCAGTGGATGTCTTTCACTGAGCCAGTCTATTTCAGGGACACTGCAGCTGGTTTTCATATTATGTTCACTCAGTTCAGACAGCAGGGTAACAGCTTGCTGCAGTCTAGACAGTCAAACACCGGTCAAACATTAATGGGCCCTGAGTGAAAATCTTTTCAGCTGAAAAGCCGTCAAACTGCCATCATAACTAACTCTGCTTTGTTTTTTTCTTTTTTAAATGGTTTGTCTCAATAGGTGGAGCGCACTGGGCGTCCAGGGGGCTCTCCTGTCTCACCTGGTTGAGCCGGTTTACCTGCACAGCCTGACGGTAGGGACGCTCAGCCACACGGGTCACCTGGGCCGGGCCATGGCACGCCGCCTTGCACCAGTCAAGCACCTGCCCTTTCCATATCGACGACAGCAGCTGCTGCTCGGCTGTAGGTCCAAATGCTTAACACACCTGAAATATAAATCCTCCTCAGTAGTTCAAGGCAGTTTATTCACTCTGAGTCTGGTAGGTCTGACCTGATGCACAGAAGGTTTCTGGAGCAGTTGGCATGAGCAGTGATATCAAAATTGCATTTTTACATTTGATGTTTGTACATGATGTTTGGGTACTTTAAATGCTGTTTTAAATATTTTTTTTCTGTACTTCAACTTAAGTAAAAATGTAATCGTAATGAAGTATTTTTACACTGGATTAGCCAATGCTAGTGGCTCTGTGACCCTAAAGGGGGCGTGAATGTCTGAACCTAATGTTATGGCAATCTATTCAATAGTTGTTGAGATATTTCACTGGGTAAATAAACAATGAAGAAAAACAATTCTGACACAACATGGTATTTGGTATGAGAGTACCAGTCTCAACACCTGTCTTTGGTTTTCTCTCTGCCCAGGTCTGAGCAGCAGCGAGGTTCGGCCGACAGGGAAGGCCCCAAATGTCAGCGTGAACTGGAGCTTTGGGGACGGAAGCCTGGAGGAGATCAGCACCTCCACAGGATGGAGGAGGGACTCAGGGACACCGTCACGGCTCTGCAGGCGCTCCATGTTCGCCCGCTGGCAGAGACTGCACCAGCAGGTGGGTCAGAGACACTCAGAGACTCGAAATACTGAACCTGCTCAGGAGACTCACGTAGGGAGGATGTCATCACCTGGGCTTCTTAACAAAAGTGGTTGCTTATGGGAATCAGGGGATTGGACACATACCAATAAAAAGCATACAAAAAAGTTGAGGGCACACACCAAACTGTCCACGAGCTCTGACTCAGAACAAAACCACCTCAATATAATGATGTTTTCAAAAGCAGGGTTTAACTTTCACTGTGAAATTAAAATATGTATGCTGAGAGTGTTGTGCTGGACCAAATGGCCTCTGCTTAAAATTTAACAATGACAGACAGAGTCGTAATTATTTAAAAAAGCAACCGGACTCATTGTAAGAAGAGCTGCTCACAGATCACATGGAAGAAAAGACACAGGCCACAGAGGGGGAGGAGACAGAGCTCCAAAGGCTCAATGAGGGAAAGAGATTAGACAATGATACAGTATTTTAAAGACTTAGTGACCTGAAAAACAATTAGATGAAGTGAACGTGAAAGGTGGACTACAAACTAGAGGCAGAGAGGAAGAAAAGGAACCCAAAGCTTATAGTATTAATGAGGACCAGAATTACCACCTCACAGTTGTATGCCTCTGTAAACCTGTCAAGTTGCACTTAAAGTTTACATCCGTGTCTGTGAAAACATGATGCTACACACTCCCCCCCCCGGCAGCACAGAAGATCCATACAATCAGCACAGTTTAATGATGCCACCCAAGATTAGTATCATCATTTCAGTATCTGATCAGATGTCTCCCCTTCTGCTCCTGAGATGTGGTCAGAAAAGTGTTTTTGCAGAACCTTATTATCTCACAATGAAGTTGACCTTTGACCTTTTGGATATAAAATGTCATCACTTCATCATTTTATCCTGTTACACATTTGTGTGAAATTTTGTCACAATTTACACATGAATTTTTGAGTTATGGCAAAAAACATGTTTTGTGAGATCACAATGACCTTTGAACTTTGAGCACCAAAATCTAATCACTTAATTCTTCAGTCCAAGTGGACGGTTTCACAGGAATGGGATGGACGGAGGGACAGATGGGCAACCCAAAACATAATGCCTCCGGCTACAGCTGTCGCTGGCACAGAGGCATAAAAACATGAATACTGTAGATCACTATTTCTAGAGAGATTTTTTTTTACTTTTTTTTTTTATTTACTGCTTGCTGCTACAACATCCACCACAGTTAACCATGACTGACTGAGACATATGTCAAACTCAAACAAACACATGTTAAATATGTATAATAATAAATAATATATCAGGACTCATACGCTTTTCAACATCTTTGAATTATTTGACCCATAAATGCACTTGACATTATACTTTGCATTTTTCTATCTATTGATATCCTCATGAGAAAATACTTTAATTGAAATAATCATTTGTTTTTTTTGTTTGTTTGTTGTTGTTTTTTACAAGAAATTTAAGTCTGTATAGACTCATGCAGAAATATTCCCTCTTAACCATCTCTTATGACTCACTGGAAGTGTGTGGCAGTGTACTTATCTGCAGAGACTCTGCCCTCTGCTGGTATATTATTACTTGTATGTATCATTACTAATACCAGTTCCTGTTTTCTTCTTATTTTCTGTGTTTGGGACATTGTGGGCGAGTACCCCCACAGCACTCAGGTGAGGTCAGGGCTTTATAAAAAGGTAGCAACTACGTGCCAGACCATGGCAGCAGGCATCCAGGAGACACAGCACCAAGAAAAATAATAATAAAAATGCAAATATCGCGAGGTAACATGCCAAACAAGAGTGAATCTGGGGTTGGTTTTTACTTTTACTTTGACTGACCAGCAGGTTTACAAACAGTAACCGACAATCCTGCATAGTATAGCATTAAGGTGAACACAGATGGATGTGAAAAGAGCCTTTCAGCATTAAACGCCAAATGAAATAATAAGAAGCAGAACATAAAGTAATTAAACGTGAACACAGTAGAGAAGTTGGACTTAAAGTTTGAGCCATGCAGGCTAAGTCAGGAGAAGCCTATTAGACTTGTCTCACTGCTGATACTCTGACCCATCAAACACAGGTGTGACCAATAACATTATCGACCATTTAGATGTGTCAGCTGCGGGTCCCTGGTGCTAAATCAGCTGTGTGGTTTACAGGGAAACTTTAATGATTAATGGTTTTAGTTACACCTGTGCTTTTCCTGCTTTGACAAGTCAAAATGTCAAAATGTGTGAAATATCCATTTTCATGGGACAGGTGTCAGTTTGAGGAAGGTGAACAACAGATGACTGACAAATGTTATTTTTAGCTGGGAACTCAACATGGCAGGTTGTGCAGCTCACTGGACTGACACTGGTCTTGGCAGTGGTGGAATGTAACTAAGTACAAACTTCTATTCCACTACATCTCAGGAATGATTGTACTTTTTATTGCACTACATTTATCTGAGAACTTTTAATCCCCTACCTGTCCAATAAAAAACATGTATCTCCAGATGTGTTGATTTTAAATGTTTGTGATAAACTGAATGATGTGTTCCTTCATGAGATGAGAAAATTCTCCCACTTCTTAAGCCTAATTAATTCGTTAAAAGCCCTCTTGGATCAGCTGAAAAATGAATCGTCACAAAGCTGAAAACAGAGCAGGTTTTCTGACACCATGAAAAGATTTTTTTCGAGATATGTAGCTCTTACAGGACAGCAATGCTACAAACATATGATGATGTCATAGAATATGATGCACTGCTATAGATTAAAGAACAGCTACGGACCATTTTGATACTTTGATTAAATATTGCTGATAATACTTCATTTTACTTAAGTAAGATTTTGCTGGACTTTTACTTGTGGTGGATTATTTTCACAATGTGGCATTGGTGCTTTTAGGCTACTTAAGTAAAGGATCTCAATACTTACTCCACCACAAACAGTGGATGTATTCGCAACACTGCGAAACATCTCCTTAACCATCCACAAATCTCACTTTTATTTGGCATTTTGTTATGACACAAATCATGTTTCTGTCTTTCTCTCTCAGTTGAATGGTGAAGAAGCCACTGCAGGGACATATTCTGGTTCCAAGATGGCTGCCGGGCGCTACCAAAGGGCGATGCAGCAGTTTACCAGTGCTCTACAGGGTGGAGGGCTGGGAACTTGGCTCAGAAAACCTTCAGAACTAGGACACTTCAACATCAGTGTGTGAAAAACTCTGCGTTAAAGATTGAAGATGGTCAGAGTGAAGTTCATGTATGTTTTTCTTTGTGAGTGGATAAGGTACAAAGAATGTGATGCTAATTTGAGAAGAAAGTTCATTTCACCTTAATTTATAATATCCTACTAGAAATGATTAATTAACTGATTAGACAGAATTTTTCATTATGCAAATGAGCTCAAAGTATTCAGAAAAGTAAATGAAATGTAGGAAAAAGTTGGAGTCAGCTTCTTCGTGTGTAGCGTTTGCTTAAGTTACATCAAAACTGCTAATTTCAGCCCTGGAAGCTAATGCTAGCTTGTATGGCTAGTTTAAATCTTAACAACCACATTGCTAAAACCTCATAGTAATACTGAAGATATTTCATTTCAGTGTTAGAGGTGAATTTAACTAATCAGTAATTTTTACCTTGCAAAACAACTGCACAGTTAGAGCTGGATGTGTAGAAATGGGTTGAGTACAAATAGTAATATTAATAATTATAATAACACTTGTCTGATATCAGGAACTTCTACAGCTATGTAATCTCCTCCCTGGTGAAAAGAACTACAGAGAACATCAATAAACTGGTGGCAAAAATCCAATCAGCTTATTAGAAGTGGAGTCACGCACTGAATCTGGTTGTATTTATTGACAAACGCATACAAATTTGTGAATAAAAAAAAAAAATTAAGGCTTAATTTCAGATGATCTGTTGTGACTACAAGGCTAGCCATTGGGGTATTCATCTTGGAATAACTCTGGATGCTAACAAATGAGAATAAAAGGAGGTTTTTCATCTCTTTTCTTATTGCAAACATGGCCTAAATGCTGCATAGTCCCACAGGAAATAGACTGAAAGACACTCCTAAATGAGAATGGGGGTCACGGGTTGTGTTGTGAATAGTATCAAATACCCAAAGACAGTTGGACCCATTCATCCCATTTTATCTTGTGTAATTTTTGTATTTATATACTTGTAAGACACCTTCAATGACATAATGTGAAGCCCCGGATCAGCCTTTTGTAGTGAGAATAAAATGTCCTCACTTTCCAGTAGTGTCCTCACTTTTACAGTCTAAAACCCATATTGGTCCTCTCTTACTTAAGTTACTTAAATGTAACAGGCCACAGATTACTAGTTATCCTGTTAAAGTTTCAGTTACTTGAATAAAGTAATTATTATATTTTGGTTACTTACAATACGAAGCACCAGAATTAATGTTTTATTTTACGTATAAACCTTTTCCTGGAAAGGATATATGTAGCCCCTTTGTAATCACCAACATTTTGATTAGTAACTGTAATTTAATATTATATATCCATATTTGTTTTTCAGTAACTGTAACTGATCACAATTTCCTTTGTTTGTACTAGTTATAATTACATATAACTAGTTACTCCTAACACTGGTCCTCACAAACTACAATACAGAAGTACACACAAAAAAACTTGTTTTTGTCACTTAGGAGGACATTACATCTGCTTCTATCAATGCCAGGGTGATTTATCCTAACCTTACCATTACATGCCGAATGCCAACCCATACTCTAACCTTAACCAAATACCAAGTCTTAACCCTTAAAATTTAATGGTTTTTGTTGAGGGGACTGGCATTTTGTTACCCAACAGGAAGTGAGTCCCCACAATGTGACTGTGAGCAGATTTATCTCCCCCATAATGTGGTAAATACAAAATACCTGACGACTGCAAAGCAAAATTTGTTTTATTAGTAACAACAGCTTCTGGTTTATTTTACTTCTATACTACATGTCACATTTTAATTTTATTCTTACTTGTTTGTGTTTGTTTAGTTTTTGTTTCAGTAATGTACATTTGGTGTAACTGTATGTCTCACCTGGTTAATTATGTTGACGTTTTCACATGTCATGCATTTTGAACAGCGCTGTAGAGTTCCAGAGTGTGTATGAGGCCCTGGAGTGAAGGCGGGCTGCCATCTAGAGGGAGACTAGATGTGGAATCTAGGTTTTATTGAAAAAAGAAATGTTTATAATTTAAGTTTTGTTTAGTGTTTATATTTTTTGGTCCTTTCTCCTTTTATCCCTTAAGATGATTTATTTGATTAAAAATATCCCAAAGGCTTTTATTTTCAAGGAGAAAAAAAAAGTATTCTTGTTAGTTTATGTTTTGGTGTTCAGTTATAGAAAAGTCATCTGAGGTAACAACTGCGTAAAAAGAGTAATTTTACTGAAAGACTGGTGTTGAATACTATGTAAACTTTTATTAGGTATGCAGAATGGATGTAGTCTATATTGGTCATGACTATTTTTATCACTGGGAATAAATGATCTTATTTGTGTTACTTTCTGTTTGTATCACATCAGAGTCAAAGCTTAACTTCTGTTGATTGGGTGTGTGAAAATGGCCTCTTTCAGGAGTGCTTCACACTGTCCAAAAAAAGGATCTTAATACTCTGTCTGGTGTCCTTGACATGCACAAAATAAAAACACTTTAAGCACACATGCCACACAAGCTTATTCATGGACTTAGCTTACTGAGACATGATAGCAACTCCAGTTTTACACAGTCAGTGGAGGTTAATAGATGTTTGCTTATGTCCACAATTTAGATAGGTAATATAAAATAAGCCCCTAATAGACTACGTACAGATAAAATCATGACAAATGTCTCTATTTGACAAAAAAAAAAAAAAAGAAAAAAAAAAAGAAAAATAATTAAAGTTCAAAAGCAACTGGAAATTTCAAATACACAAATGCACTAGAATAATGTGTTTCTGCAAAATCCTTGGGTCTCCAGGTAAACATTCTACATTTTACATTTTGTTTTTTCAAGTGTGTAAGTGTGTAGCATGTGGTTGATTGATGACCATTAACCAGGCTGTCTGCGCAGTAAGTAATTTCAACTGAATGAACCAAACTGATGATTTTTTTAAATAAAGATATTAAGCTGACAAATACATAGCCTTCACTGTATCACTTAGTTATTTTGACATATTTTAGCAAACAACTTACTACCACTACAGATACTAAACAAAGTCATTTTTCATTGGGAGACATGTTTGTGTCCACCTGATGTAGGTCTAACATTCACTCTCCTTTTAGCTCTGGTTTGGTCTCCACCAGCTCCTGAGAAAAACACCTGGCTCTTTAGCTGCTAAAAGTTCCACTTTATTCACCAGCTAGTTGCTAAGTCTGTCTGCTGTTTAGTGTTGAGCAGGTATACAGTTAACTGAATCTGAAGACTTTGCAAAGAAAATAACAAACAACTCAAAAATAACTCCACTGGAGAACATTCAAACAGCACAAATGGTTTATTCTGATTTCACAAGCAGATGCTTGTTCCTTGTTACACAGCTATAACCCACAAAACTGCTGTCAAGTAGATCCAACAGGTTGTTTTTTTTTCTCTGAGAACTGAACTGTGATGTGCGTTGTTCAACATCAACCACTTTGATCACACAAAACACTGGTAACACCAACGAGCCACAGTTTAACAAGGCTTCACGACGGTGGATTTGAGATGGCCGATGCTCAGTGATGATGTGATCTGGTCATTGTGACTGAGAGTGTGAACAGTGTGGCTGAACATTATTAACATTATTACGAATGTGGCAGCAGAGTGGCTCAGTGTTGGTAGAAAATGCAGTTTAGTACATGAAACTTGTTTAAATTTTCCACAAGGAATAAAAACAGTATTGGATAAACTAAAGATCGAACATTCACACACACAAACACACAACTTTTTAATTTCCATCACACAAACAAAATGTTTTGTCAGTCATACCAGGGATGACTCCTTGTGCAGAAGGGATTTGGGGAAATGCACAACAATGGTCTCTTGTCCAGTGTCTGCCAAAACTATTGTTAACAATTGCACATTGCAGCTGAAGTGAATAAAGACAAAATAATGTTGCAAGTCATTTAAGGACTTTCAGCAAAAGGGCTTTCTTGCAGTTAAAAATATATAAATTTACACCTGGGAACTGATATAAATAACTTCTATTACTAATTAATAATTAGCATCACACTAATAGCCAGATGCAAAACTTCTAATTTCGACTCATTTTTTTTTTACAACATTTGCCATCCCTGGTATAAATGCCCAAATGAACTCAGTTTGATGTGAATGTAAAGCCTTTCACAGATGAACTTATGTCATCAGTCATGAAGCAGTAAAATGGATTTACACAAAATAAAAACAAATGAAATGCGGGATCATGTCATCGAGATATAAAGGCTAATAAAACTGCTGCAGCTGAAATACACTATACAGCCAAAACTGGCTATTTTCTCCATATATTACAATTTATATTATACAAATGTTATGGTTTTAAAGTAAGAGGAGGTTAACACTTTACATTTGCATTTTGACAAGTAATTACTTTATTGAATATCTCCATTTATTTGATCTTAAATGTAATGATGCTGTTTTTGCACCTCCAAAATTCCAAATTTTTATTGGACTTTTCTACTGTTAATAGTACATTAATAGTACATTTCACTGGGCTAATACATTGCAATAAGGCAGCTGTAAAGTGTTATCAAATATACACACACTGAATCTGTGTATATCACACACACAAAAAGTTGTTTTTAACCCAGAAATGTTGGTCATGTCAATGTACTTGTGTGAATGAACACCATTGTTACAATCCAGCAAAACGCTCCACAAATCTAAAGCTAGACTTAAAAACAATCAGTTTGATATTAACTGTGCTTGTTCACTGTGTTAATGCTGTAACTCCTGACAGTTGTACTGCAGTCGGAACTGCCTGTTATCACATTTAACACGTTTTGAGACATTGATTTGTATCACCACACATACACACATACTTTGTTCACATGATATCATCTAAAACAAACAAACACACACACACACACACACACACACACACACACACACACACATATATATATCATCACAGCCTCTCCCATTCACTTAAATGCAGCTTTGGCTGTTTTAGTGGCAGTGGAAAAGCAAAGCAGGTGACAGCAAACGCATCACGACACTCCCCAAAAATTTCACTAGTTTTTAAGTACCATAACAAACATGACACTGACAGAATCTTCACGACAGTGTTTCAACACTAATGACTAAAGGGCACTGCGATAAACTAGAAAAAAAGTTGTTGTTTTTTACAATAATGTCAAGTATTGGTACAACAGCAGGGCTGGGCATCCGAGAAACATCAGTTACTCACTTTTTATTGTTGAATTAAATCAGCTCATTTTATACTAAAGTAAGTTACTTTAGTTATAACGAGTACAAATGATTTGCTTTCTCTACTGAAAACAGCAGACCCCTTTTATTCCCCGCATGCTAAAAAGCCCTTACATGAGAACTTTCTCTGTAACACTTCCTCATAACTAATAAAAAAAAAGGACTCTACAGGCTTGATGAGAGTTTGATCCAATAGTCATTTTAGTACCCAGAGTTATCTCTGTGTAGACTTATCCATGTACATTTTTATAGGCACAATATTTTATTATGTTTGTATTCATATTCATTTTGTGCCATAAGGTTTAAGGATTTGTGGACAGATGTTAGAGTTAGTAGCTATAAGTTTGAGCTCAAGACACTAATAAAGAGAGCCAATAGATACATTTGTTTCTGAAAACATTTCATCATTTTTCAAGCCCTTAAGTAAAGAAATGTCTAGCTACTTATTCTTACTTCCTGTGTAAACAAAACTGTCGATGAAACTATGGGTGAAGTATTCCCCTGTCATTTAAAGTGCACCATTTTAGAATTGTATGTTTATTTAACAAGTCGGGTCAAGAAGCAGCTTAAAGTTAACATTATAATTAAGATGGCATACGTTTATGGATTAATATCTGACACACAGATGATTATGGTGTCATTAATCTCATTATATACTGCATTATGGGACCAGTCGACAAAACTCCCTAAAGCCCTTTTTTGACCAAATAGTTCCATGAACTAAATACCAGAAACTAAACTCAGGAACTAAAAAGCGTGTGTGTGTGTATGTGTGTGTGTGTGTGTGTGTGTGTGTGTGTGTGTGTTCACCACACTGGAAGGACACCTATCGTGTTGTTTTATTATTTGATATTTATTCTTATTGCTTGTTGTCTATTTGTGTTGATTTTTTATTAGGTGTTTTTCTTGTTTTAACATTCACAAGCTAGCTCTCTCATCGCAAACTCATCATCTTGAATCTTTTAAATCTGTCACAAAGTTGACGCCAAGAGTTCCTGAGCCATTTTACAGTACTGCCACCTGAAGTAAGGACTTTTTGCAGGCCAGGAAATCATTTTAGCTCCTGGTTTCTTTGGTCAAATCACAGGTGAAGTTCTTTAGTTCCTAAGAAGGCTCCTTGGTTCATGGAAAAGTGTTGACAGTGGAAAAAGGGCCTTAAGAGTCCATGTAGGCCTTCAAAATGAAAACAATACCAACAATTAGTTTTACATAGAGTATCTTAAGCGTTATGTCTCGGTACCCAGCCCTGCCATACAACCATTTCAACAGGTGTTGTTCAGACTAAAGATTTAATTTGCACACATACAGAAACACTAAAATCCCCTTTCCTCCCTACACACAGGTCTTGTATGTCTGAACATTTATCAGCCTCTAACAATAAACTGTCAACAGGGCAGGGAGTTGACTTTTTTTTGTCTACTAGACACACAGTGGCTGGTTCATGGCTTTACAGAAACAGAAACACAGTCAGATCCAGATGTCAACACTGTGAGCGGAGCGACTAATCACATAGACCATGTGAGAGGTCATACTGGAGAAAAACCTGCCTACTAGGACTGACGCTGGAGAAGTTCCAGTCAGTAACTAACACACCCAAAACACTAAAGTCTCCTCACAGGAGAGAACACATTGGAGAGAAGACATACTGGTGTGGTCCACAGTGCAGAAAAACAGAGAGGAACCATACCACTGTGAACAGAAAATAAGTGCTGCAGTCATATGACCACATACTGATCCCAGCAGATACTAGTGCTATGTATCATGGTCCTGGATGGCTGTCAAACAGAGCTCAAACATCTTAATCATAAAGCCTTTTAGTCAGTCTGCAAATTTATATTGCAACAACTTTAAAGGTATAGTATGCAGAATTTTCCAAATAAAAAAAGTAAAGTCATACATAAGTAATGTCCCTCAGTCATCTCTTGTGACCCACTCGAAGTATGTGGCGATGTATTTATCTGTGGAGGCCCTGCGCTCTGCCTGTATTTTCTGAACTTCTTATTATTTTGCTTTGTCCAGGATGTTTCTGGGTGTGTAATCCCCAGCCACAGCAAGAAGAGAGCTGAACCATTTAATGGGTCTCATTTCTCTTGTAGGATACAATTACACAGGCTCTATCATTGTAATTTAAGATTTTATACTTTTGTGTCTTTTAGCACATGCAGGCTAGATATAGTTTTGCAAATGGCACATTAACAGTAACATCACATATATCTTCCTTTAAGGAAGTCACTATCTCTCTATTGGAGTGAATCATGCTTATGTAGCATTATACCAACCAGGCATACGTTCTTTAGCTCAAGGTTATTAAGAAGATTTGCTGCCATCCAGTGAGTTCCTGCTTTAAACAGGCCTGTTCAGGTTCAGTGTGAAAGCCACCCAGAATCTTGATATGTATTGTGACACTACTGTTTTCAGGGTGAACAACAAAACCACAGTACAAGTGACCCACGCTGGAGAGAAACCATTCTAGTACTAACACAGCACCACTGCCAGCACAGGAAATGCTTTAAATCACTTTTTTTTTCAGGTTGCCACACAAGAGAAACCAGTCGATTTTAGTTCCTCTCCCAGCCATCTACTACAGAATAGGACCATTATGTGCCAAAGTGTCTGACTGTGCAGACAACAATCCTATCAGCCACCAGCTGAAACTCACAAGAAAAGCTGTTGTCCCTTCTGACTGTGTTGACAATGCGCAGAAGCTGCAAAGGTCATTTGTTTTTTTAAATTTTCTACAACAGCAACAAAAAGCTGTAAGGATTTTCAAAAAGGTGCATTACTTTATCACACAGAGACTCCTGAACTCTGTCACTGAGTCTATGACTCTGTCACAGTGACAAACAAGAGGAGAGCTGCTTTGATTATATGATCGCCAGTATTAAAATGTATTATAGAGTTTAAGCTATGAATCAGGTGCCCGACCAAACATTTTGAACGAAACTCAAGAGGAAAAGTCCGCTTTTAACACTGGTAACAAACAGCTAACCGAAATGGATAACCAGTCAAACACATGTTAGACAATGCTTGTGTTGTCAAATTATTTCCAGAAGCAGAAAATGTTTAAGAAACTCAAAAGATGACTGGAAAAAGAAGACTGTAGGGTCAATTTCTGAGAATCAAAGAGCGAGGGCTTCTTTCTAGTGCCACCACTTTGCACAAACGTTTAGCAATCACAGAAATCAAGAAATTTAAGCAAAGCAGAAGCTAAAGGGGCAAGTTATTACAGATTTCTTTTAAAGCAACAGAATGCCATTCTTTCTCTAAACATAAATCTGTTGGTACAGATCAAATTTGCTAAAGTAAGAACCTTACTGATCTAACTGTTGAGCATCAGCATCTGCTTTTTAGTTTTCATCAAAGAAGCTCCTCTGTGTTATGTTTCTGTGCTTTTTTTCATTAGTGGTACACAGGTTTTTTTTCTCTTTTAGATGGTGAGGATTTGCTTCCATGCAAAAAGACACACAAATGTGTTCTGTATATATTCGCGGCGGTGAGTTAGACAGCGTGACAGATGCAGTAGACAGCAGGCGCAAGTCGTTTTTTCTTTCCTGCCCTCCTCCTGGGGAGGTCAGACCCCAACGAGCTTTAAGTGTCAAATACTGACCTCCTGCAGACTCAAAAGATGGCTGTTAAAAGTCTGTAATTTTAACTTTGATTGAGTGATTGCTAAAATTATATCGGTTACGACATGTGACAAGTCTTCACAGACAAAAGAAAGATGAAAGTAAACTTTTAAGGCCACCTTTTAAGCCTGCAGGATCGTGCATGATAACAGACTCTGGGTGGAGTTTCACTATAAAGTGACATCAGCAGGAGGTGGAGGTCATTTTTCCTGCAGCAGGGCGGGGATGTTGATGTTCCAACCGATGGCCTGTCGATCAAAGCCGCAGGTGAACAGGTTGCAGGAGGTGTTGTCTTCACACCAGGCAGAGCAGCACACCATCCGCCGGTGACCCTGAACCACAAGAGAAGTGTTGTGTGACAAGCAACATAGTAATCTAATGATGAAAGAGTCAGAATTTCTGACTGATTATTAAACATTGCAAATACAAGTCGCTGCAAATACAAAATCTTTTGTCTTCCTTGTTTTGTTTTTTTTGGAACATTTTTTGTCTTCTTTATTGTGCCAGATAAGATACACAAGTCCAGGTAAGAATGGTAAGAATAGAAAAGTAAGTGTGTGTGTGTGCAGGTTTTGAAGAGCCAGTGAGAGGCCATTCCTCCTCCACTGACTGACCTGTCTGTTGCTTCGCGGGAGTCGAGCCAGTCGCACCCCGGACATGTCGAACAGCCGGACCTGCCGATTGTCGTGAGGAAGAGCGATGATTTTCTGGGTCACCGACACGCTGATCCTGGACACAACAGCAGGACGATTCAGTATGAAAGAAATCAGATTTCAAATGCAACACATGGCACTGTTTTGTCTAAGGGTAGCACCAGTATGAATTATAACCATAATAATTTGCAACCATGTCCAAGAGAAGTAAGTGTCTTTTGTTGTCATCATCCAATTATAGCTGCAACTAACAATATTTTCCTTTTTTAAATTAAACATTTAGTCCATTAGGTGTTAGAAAATATCTAAAAACCTCAACCCAGAGCCCAGCAGTTCAAAACCCGAGATACAAATATAATAATCTCTGATATAAAGCAGAGAAAAGCAGCAAATCCTCACATTTGCGATTCTTAAATCAGCAAATGTTTGTAAACTTGCTTGATAAATAACTTAAGCATAATCAATTATTAACAAGTGTCTGTGATCAACTAATGATTGTTTACATATCAAACTTACATTTGATTCACAAACAGTTAAACATTTGCTGTCCCACAACATTTCAGCCAAAGAATAATGCAATAAACAGAATAAAGGTAAAAAAGTAAAGCAGCTACACTATTGTTTAAAAAAATCTCAGTTGTGGCTGTTATCATGAAAATGAAACCCAATTACAGACATCCAAATCAAATTACAACAGATCATGTATTGGGATTATTAACTGTGTCAAAGACAAATAAACAGGCAGTTGCAGAGGCTTATTCAGCTGTATGTCTACAACTAAATGAAAACAAACACTAGAGATATATCAAAACACCACTGCACATCTATCAGCATATTCTCTGCTCACACACCTGTTGACAGCGGAGTCGGTGCGGATGGTTGCTATGGGCGACCTCATGTTTTTCAGGTCCCACACTTTGACAGTTCGATCGTCACTACCAGATACCACGTTGTCGCCCACAGTGAAAACAGCAGACGTCACTGTGCTGTGAAGGACAAGAAAACAGGTTTATTTAGACTCAATAAAGATGTTTAGTTCCAACCATATATGTTTTAAGAATTCACTTGTAGATAGCAGTATTTATTATTTAATATTCATTCAGCTGAATATTGAATATATTGTTTTATACACTGGAAGACTGCTTCAAGTCTCTCATATGTGGCTGTTATAACGGTTTTATCGCCCCCGTGTGACACAAACAAAACAAGCATGTACATTTAAACTGAAGTGTATTTACATTTTGTTCACTTAAAGAAAAAAAAATTTAGAAACTGAAAAAAGATAAAATTAACAAAGTAATATCAAAAAAAGATTACAGCCACACTTTATTACTTCACTTAACTTTTGCTTACTACCCTTCTAGCAATACAAAATCAACAAAAATGATAAACAGGCTACACATAGAGCAAAGTGAATAGGATAGCTTGTGTGTGTGTGTGTGTGTGTGTGTGTGGGGGTGGGTGTGTGTGTGTGTTGACTGACTCAGTGTGTCCCTGGAAAACGTTGACAGAGTGGATGGATGGGTCTCTGAAGTCCCACAGTCTGAAGGTGGTGTCTCTGGATGAGGTGACCACCAGACGCTGGGTGGGGTGTGTGCAGCAGTGGGTTAGCTCCTGGTCATGGCCTGACCACGTACACACGCACACACAAATACAAACACAAAAACACGAAGTGAGAGAAAATGTGTCAGACAGCAGGGTGGTGTTGACACTGACACCCCGGTGTTCAAAGCTGACTTGTGGGGAGACAAACACCTAAATCTCTCCTAGCTCCAAAGTGGCCTCAGTCTGACCTCCTTGTTAAGAGCGGAGGTATCGTTATTGCCAAAACTGAAACATGGAAAATATTTCCTCTGAAAAATGGGTTCTTGCTGCTTGAAGTATTCAACACTCAATATAATCTCTTTCTGAGAGTAATAAATTGTCTAAAGAGAACAGTAAAAAAGGTACAAAAGACTTTGGGAATCAGATATATGTGCACACAAAATAACAATGATAATACGTCATTGAGCACAACATAATGATAACATGTTTTCAATGTTTACTACATTTTAAATGGTGTTGGGGGACCAAAGTTTTATAATTAACACATATTGACATCAGTGCAATGTTCCCTTCATCCTACCAGTGAGTGAGTGGACCAGCTCTGAGGTCTCCACATCATACAGGTTGGCGGCTCGGTCCCAGGAGGCTGTCACAACCTGTTTGCCCGCCACCAGCCAGTCAGCAGCGATCACCACACCCTGATGGCTGCGCAGAGTCGTGGTTGGCACACGGACAGAAGGACAGTCGTTTGGGCCCTCAACCTCACCGTCAGCCTCATCTTTATCCGAAAAGTCCACATCATCTTCACAGGGTGTCTGCTGTTAACAACGGAATTAAGTTTCAGAAAAAATTAAAGGTCCAAACAGAAAGTCAATTGGGAGTGCAGTAACACACATAAATAGGTTTGTAGTGCTGTTGCTGCTTACACTGATATCAGCAACAGGCTGTGGAGTGGGCAGCTGCACCATGTATCTCCAGATGTGAGCTGTCTGGTCTCCGGAGGCTAAGGAGGAGAGAGATGAGACAATTAAAGACTATTAAAGCTGAGATGACCCTTCCTGGAATTATGAAAAAAAAAATGACTGAACAGATAGAGTTGATTGTTTATGTGTTATTGTAGGTGGATAAAAATGACATGAAATTTTTGAAATGTTGCTGTAGATTTTGAGGTTAATTTTGACACACATTTTTAGCTCTGTTGGTTGGTCGGTCAGTCATCCACAAACATTTCCTCACCCTTTGGCAACCACAGTTTTTTGTGCTAGTAGGCTGAAATTCAACATAAAGGTCAAGTGTGTGTGTAAAGGTGTGTTTATGTGTTCATTTCAAATGGCCAAAAGGGGGCCTGGCAATGACAGAGGCCTATCACAAAAAGATTCATAACTTTCAAATGGATTCACAGACTTTCCAAAGATTTTGTGGAAAGACCATGAGCCAAAGGACAGCAGCTGCTGTAGTAAATAAATATACAGAAAAAGCACTGATGTGGTTGTTACCTTGAGAATTTACAGATGTTTTAGTTTTGGATCATTACCTGTTAGAGCCATCTGTTCAGTGGGGTGGAACTTGATGGAGTTGACTGCGAGACAGAGACACAGATGTATTACATCACGTCATAATGTCACACTAATAACTTGTGCTTCAACTCTGACCTCCTTTTCTGATGGCTGCTTCCAATTAGCCTTTTTTAACAAGGTAAAAGGGAATTAATTTTTAAAAGAGTACTTACATTCCTGAATTATGAACAACTTTATAAAACTACATGACTTTTACTTGGGTTCAGAAAAACAGTCCTGAAGAGAGGCTCTGTCTATGAACACAGTATTAATGAATTTATTTAGCCTAGATCTACTCTCATGAATGTACTTTACATTTCTAACTCTACCTGATCCTTGATGGCCCATATATTTGAGGAGGCACTTCCCAGTCTCAATGCTCCACAGCATTGCAGTGTGGTCTGTTGAGGCATGTTGTAGACACAAAGAAAGGAAAAACATTAGATTTTAACATTAGAGTTGAATTTTTTTTTAACCACAGTCTATATTCAACAATGCTTTTACGGTACATGCCTGATGTATACAGACTGTTTGAATGCACAGTTTCTGAAGCTAAATCTAACATGAAATTAACTGTTTGAAAAATGAGTAAAATACCTGCCGACGCAGTACCAAGGACCACAGGTTGAGTCCTGGTGACACTAAGGTCCCAGATGCCATCTCTGTGGCTGACATACTCCCTGACCAGCTGGCACACTGCTCTGGACGTGGTTGCTTTGAAACTGGACACAATCTGACACCGACATCAAATTCACATTAACACAGATGGAAAACACAGTACTGAACCTTACAGGGTTCCTCCACACTTTTCTTCTCAAAATAGCTTCTACATCTTTTTGTTAAGTGGGTATTACGTAAGACTGATTTGTCTGTTACTCATGAGACATGTTTCAGCATTCCCATACATGGAAATTGGCATCAACATCATTTTTGAGTCACATTTTTAACTTGAAAGCCCAAATGTCAATGAAATTGCATCAAACAAATACATCTATAAAAGTTTTTAAGGAAACCCAGGTATACCCTATTTATACTTCTATGAAGGTTTCAAAATTTCCCCACACTTGTGGCTTATTTCTCAAGCATTTTACAGCCTGGGACTGATCCAATATTAAATTTCCAGACTTTTGCAGAGGTGTGTAGGAACCCTGGTCTGATATAGGGAGGACGGGGTCAGCAGAATTGAGGAGCTGCTCAGCAGGGTCCTTGTAGTATGCCAGGGCTAAGAAGCTTTGTTTGACAACAGCGTTATTCATATCAGTCCTGGGTTACCAATAAAGTCTTTATTGGTGTTTGTTTTAAGCTTGATTTTATATGCTATGTGGAGTTGTCACCAATCTAATGCTCCTATTGCTTTAAAACAAACACTATTAATGACCAGTCAACCCAAGTCTGGTATAAACACAAATGCAGACACATTAAGTATCAGTACTGTATACTGCATTTATCGTACCAGGATTACTAGAAATGCAAAACTGCAACAAAAAAAAAAATCTAGAAGGGGGAGAAGAGGGGACAAAAAATACTGTGTTATAGTGAGACAAGGAACTGATCAGTAGTTATTGTCAGTTGTATCAAGGTTTGGCCAAAGTGTTTACATTAAAGATGGGGATGATACAAACTGGACTCTCGGTTCGTTTTGGAAATAGACCACTAAATAAGTTCCAACTGAAATGAAACAGGAGAGCATAACGAACGGCATCATTCATGTGAAAAATAAATCTCAGGTCACATATAGAACAGAGAGGATCCTTCAAATTCTTTATCTGTTAAAAACATATTAAGTCAACAAATTAGAGTCAAAATAAACAGATATAATTGACAAAAAAGATGGGATGAAAAATACCATTGCTAAGCATGGTGGGAACCAGTGGTTGCTGGTTGTTAGCAAGCAGCATGGCAGATTCTCTTATAAAAAATATAAATCTATTAAGCATTTTATTTCTATGCTATATGAATGATAAACAGTGTGGTTTTTGTTTTATTTAACTTCAGTGTATCATGATTTTGCTAGTTAAGATTTGTCAGCTAATGCAAATGCAGTGTGGCAATGTAAAAATGAAAGCTGACTCTGGATGGACAGTAATTTGTGTACTGAGAATGATGGTGAATCCAGCACAAATGAAACACTGATGCGACATGCTACGTTTAAGAAAGAAGCCTCAGGGACTAGAAGGTTTAAGGAAATGCGAAGCATCGCAAAATAAGCTTCAAGTAACTGGCTGAGAGGCAAATCTAACGCACCCAGCAGGTTAATGCTCTACAGTTTGTAGCATCAGTGTGTAGTCTGCCATAGCCATGTCGAGATTTTTTTTTTTTTTTTTTACAGTCAATTTTACTGTCAATAAATCAGTTAGCTAGATACATTTTACATCAGTATATAACTTCAGTTATGGAAACATTAGCACTTATTTTCCATATTAGATTGGCTGACATTAGCTCATTGTATGTTTATTGGTAATGGTGCATATGTCAACGAATAATTAATGAAAATATGTATGTATACGTCTTCCTATTTAAAAAAAAATACCATACTGTTATGAGATTTTAAGCTCTCAAATACTAATATTGGAATCTGCTTCAAAAATCTAGTGATGGTTGAGCTAGATGTCAGAGAGCAAGAGTCATGCTTAATCTAAAAGTTACTGAATATACATGGTCTGATATCATTTGCATTATGTACTGTTTAATTTTTTGTAATTTAAGAAAACTGATTTCTTTAAGGCCCTGAAACACCAAGTGTACGATTGGTTGTTGGTCAATGTCGGGCCACTGGTGATCGACTACCGCGCTACTTTTTGCACTGCTGGTACTAGTCAGCCCTTGGTGAAATGGAAGTGAGAAAAGCAAACAAAAACTCATGCCCTCTTGATGCTAAAGCCCTCTTGACACTAACGTCAAGAGGGCATGAGTTCAAAACAAACTTGTTATACGAGCTAAGATTATTTTTCTCGTCATTGAGCTCTTCAACAGAAACTGCTCATGATGGTTTTTGTTACAGTTTGCTAGTGCATGATAAAAATAGTTTGTTCTGTTAACACCAGGTTGGGTTAATGTGCTAACTGGCTAACTAGCATCTTGAATCCTGCCAGTCGTTTGGGGTTTTTTTTCTGAATAATGAAAAATTCCACCGCCTGCTTTTATTGAGTTATTTCTTCTCACGTAGGCGCAGAATGTACGTGTGAGTTGACGCAACATTCATCATCACTAGTTCTTTGATGTTGGTTTGGTGTGTCTGGGCCTTTGAATACACTATATCTGATAATTCTCTGTTAAGAGATACAAAAGGGATCAAGTCCAGTCCAAAATACAAAAAATATCAGCAAAATCTGATGTGACCAAGCACTTTTCAGCAGACCACACACTCTGCCTTGACTGAGCAATGATCTAAAGCAGCTCCTCCACTTTGAGTATTTTATTAATCAAGGCACAAAAAGCACTTTTGAGGTAACAACTGCTTTGTGTTAAAGATGTCTCCATAGTGTACCATTATGTGATTGCCAACAAGAAGCTAAATGAAAACCAAGGAGGTGCAACTGAAAAAGCCTGTTAGTGAGATAATAAAAGTTGTGTTTTATCTCACACAGAACTGATAGAAAAGCTCAAACTCCTACATTTGAATGACCAAGTCTCTTGGGGAGGGAGTGTCGACCCCCTGGCTGGGCTGTTCATGCATATTGGCACACAAGGGGGAGAAATCAACAAGTTACCCATGAGTCTCCACCCCACAACTCCCAACTGGTTATGCTGAAGTTGCGGGATCCACCTACTCTGGCATGGCAAGAGTTTGAACGCGGCTACGAGCAAAAAGGTGAAAAAAGACAGCAGTTCTTCTCTTAAACATTCAAAATCATGTGATGGTGCACTGACGAGGTAGAAAACAAAGGAGCCAATTTACCAATTCAAGCTTTTCACGCTTTTGTATTCTACCTTCCCTGATACAAGTCAATGGAAAGATTTCTCAAACCATTGCATCTTCAACAATGCTTTGATGAAGCCAGTAAATGTAAACACACACCTATGCAAGCAGACTACAACCAACAATATGCACAACAATGATTTACACATTTCTGGATAGTTACTCTACCTGTTTTGCAATGGCAAAAAATTAAAACACTATATACCTTGCTTGTAGAAGCCTTGTAGGTCGTCTTTAGCTTTTGTGATAGCTGGCTGGTGCTATGACTTGCTGTAGATTGTCAGAAATAACAGAGATATAAATGGATAATAAATTAATATTATAATAATGAAATTCAAGCAGACATTTCATACATTAACTGCTATCTAAAATACTTGATACACTTGAAATGCAAATGTACATAAACCTGAGGTGAACTAGGAAGTGAAATGGGTCCCACCTTTAGTTTTCAGTGCTCCTTTGGCTAAATCTGCCCCTTCAAAAGTCTGTCCTTCTGCAGCCAAGCGATCATTCAGCGTTTCGATTTCTCTGCGTACTGAGAGTCAAATGGGTCACGTGTTAAAAGACTGAACACAGCACAGATTTCCCTGCCATCAACACCTCTTTTGTACATATGAAGACCCACCACAGAGGCTCACGTCAGAAAAAAACAATACATGCTGTGTTATTGCTAGGTAAATGGCTAGCAAGTCAAGTATTACATAATTGTTCCACGAGCAGAGAGAATCTGAAGTTATTCTGCTTAAGAAGTCCTGCAATGGCCTCTTCAAGACAGAGATCTCTCATGTAATTGTACCAAGACTCAGCACTGACACCAAAGATGCTCGTGCTTGTAATGGAATTAACCATTTATTAATTTCAATGTTGACTACTGTAAAAGTAAAACTGTTATGCAAGTTATATCAGTTAAATAGCAAGACGAATCCATATAAAATGACCTTGGTTAATTCTTCTCAAAGAAAGTCAAACAGTGGATGACAGACATGCCCTCCTTTCATTATGTTTTGTAAATGCGTTCTTGCTCTTTATGACGCAATCAAAAACATTTCTCATTCAAATGCTACACTGGCTTTTGATAGACTGCATAAAACCCATAAAATCTCTGACTTACATTCCAGGTTTTCAATGTAGAGGTTTTCAAACTCCCTCTCGATCTGACTAAACAGGTCCAGCAGATTGCTCCTCAGAGACAGAGGCAGTTTGGAGTCCTGCAGGGAGACAAAAGGAGGACATGAAACAACCTGGAAACATCATCTTATCACTGAGGAGAGGTGTGTGAGGTGTGTGAGGCTGGTGCTTCAGGACAAATACTGAGTAAAGGACTAGTTGCAGTGAGCATGTATGGCAACTCACAACTGTTTTCACTATAGCCAACTTACCTTTTTGATAAATTGAGTATTTGTTTTGGTTATACAATTTTAAAAATAGTGAAAAATTATAAAGCCCAAGGTGGCGTCTTTAAATTCCTTATTTTATCTGACAATCTGTACAGAACCTATGCTCTACTTAGTATCATTTATGACAAAGAAAAGCAGCAAATCCTGACATTTGAAAAGCTGTAACCGGTGAATGTTTGGCTTTCTTTTTTTTGGTGGATTTTAATGGATGTGAATTTCTTGGCAGTAATACCACATGCTTATCTGCTTGGAGGTCCTAGAAAATAAAAGATTGTGAGCTCCTATTTTAGGCTATTAGACCATTGGCTATCTCATCATCATAGGTTTCAACCTGAAAAAAAAAAAACAGGTCTACAAAAGGCTTTTTAAAAAATAAATATAAATCACAAAGGTCAGAAAAAAAAACCCAATGTCCAAAATAAACTAAAACTATGCAGTAAAATAAGATATCATAGAGATGAGAGTCAGTGGAGCATATGACAGCCTTCACACAATGAAAGTTTATCATTTGACACAAGCATATTACTGCAACAAAACGGAAGAAAAGACTCGTATCGCACAATAAAACCTTGAGGAAGGAAACAGGAATGTACTCCTGTTTCAGGCTCAAACAGGAAAGAATCAATAAAGGTATCCATTAAAGGAAAAACTTGATAAAAGGGTTATGGAGCACTGGGGATGTGTTGGCGCCTTACAAATGTCTGAATGTGTTTTTAGAGAGCCTACGAACAGGTCTTAAATTTTAGACTGCTGGCTTGGTTTTCTTAGGAAGCAAACACATAATTCTAACGTACCGCAGTGTAATGCTTCAGTTAAAAATAAATTATAGACCATTTATCTAATTGGTAAGAGGCACATTTAAGTATTCAAAACTCGTAAATTGCTTGTGGTGTGATATAAACTACATTATCACATATATACATATTACCTCAGGATCAGAAATTTAAACTCAATAGTGTGTTCAAGACATGTTCACGACAACCAATACTAGTTTACATTATAGTAAATCCTCCTGTAATGACCAGAGATCACAATATTCTTTATGTAATGAAGAGTATAGACTAATAGGGGAAGAAAATGACTATAAGTTGCTGATTTGTGCCTCAAAGTAAGTTAAAAAAAAAGCCACAATACATGGTTAAATTCAAGAAGTTTAAATATTTGTACTGTAATTGGTGTTTTTATAACTAACTTCCACATGGAATTTTGTATTATTGATTATCAAATGCAATTTGTATTCATTTAAACCCACTGAAAATCAACAATGAATACCCCATTTCTCTTCAAAACAGGAATACAAAATTATATGTCCTACTTATGAATTACAGTATAATGTATCTGAATATGCTATTCCTGTAGTGAGTAGATAGTTCTAACATTTTCGCAGTTCATAACATAATTCATTACAGACAGATTTGCTATGACAGGGTTGGCAGCACAGACACAAACAGGAAGTGGGCAACAACTCAAAGCTTTTTCCAATCACGATCAAACTGCTCAGTCAGTGTGTCTTTGTACCTGACTGCAGAGTACTCTGTATAATGCACTCCTGCTTGGGCTGAATTGCTGCTTGCAGCTACATTTTCTAAAGAAATCAGTCAAGTGTGCTGTTAGCATTCACAGGCTGATGTTGGCAGAAGAAAGGTTTGTGCTACAGTGCACACAGAAAAAAGACTTAAGAAGAGGAAAGGCTGCAGCATGGAGGAAATGTACATATGCATGTCACATAAAGCCTTGCATACATTGACAATGGCTGTAGAACACGTCCTATGAAGAAATAAAACTCAAAACTACTGTATGGAGCAACTAATTTGGAGTATTTGCCTGTATGATTTGTTCAAATTCATTTAAGCATGTAATAGTAATTAAGACTGAACCAAATATCTGACATGAGATGCCTATACAACATTTCAATTCCAGATTGACTACATCACACAATGCTGAAAAAACAAAAAGCATTGTGGCATACAGATTGAAACGTATGACAGAAGTCCCAAATGCTGGGAAATATTTGCAAACACTCATGGCAGATGCTCCTATTTAACTTTTTTGTGTCTATTAAAGGGAAATTTCATTCAATTATTCTCATGTTTTTGTTCATTATTATGACTAGTCCATATCCACTGAGTACAGCATACCATACCATGACTTAGTCATACCAAAAATTAGAAAAAAAAAAAAAAACAACAACATTGGGCCACAGGGGGAGCCACAGTGATTGGTCGCATTTTAGCCATTTTTAAGCATTTTTCTGCTGTTATTGAGCAACCCAGTTGCCAATTAGAATTAAATTTCTCAAGTCACCTTGAGGCGTCCAGTTCTACATATCTACCAAGTTTAGTAAAATTGATATGGTGGTTAGGCCTAGATAAGAAATTAGCTCTCTAGCGCCCCCATTTTGTTTGATGGGGTCAATAATGGAGGGGTCCCCTCAGATTATGTGTGGTCATATGCCTACAAAGTTGCGTGGTGATCTGTGAAACCCTTGAGATGTTATACACCTTTACGTGATGAGCCACGCCCTCCGCAATATTCATTGCTTTATAGAAGCTCAGTTTTCGTAAGTTTTCCAACTTTTGCCAAGAGGGAACTTTAGATATTGGTCCCTACATTATGTTCACCGAGTTTCATGCAGATCGGTCAAACTTCCTAGGAAGAGATCGATTTTCAGTGTTTTTCAAAAAAAATTCAAAATGACGGAAAATCTATATAACCAGAAGTTATGTGTTCTTGGGGCAAATTTGTTCCTCATGAGGAGAGGCATCTCTGTGCAAAGTTTCATGTCTCTACGACATACGGGGCATGAGATATGCCCATTCAAAGTTTGCGATTTCAATTGGTTGCTATAGCGCCCCCTTTGGCCAATTGATATAATATTAGTTAATTTGCATCCTCCCATGACCCTCTACCACTGTGCCAAATTTCACATGGATTGACCAAGTCAGTGAGGAGAAAAACGTGGAACAGACACACAGACACACACACAGACAGAGTTTTTGTCATTATATAGTAAGATTGGGGAGCACATTTTACTCAGCATGTTCGAAGTTCAGATTAGGAAACATAATCAGGCCAAGGAGCCCAGGCCTCCTACAGCTTTCCAAAACCTTCATTTGAACAGAAATCATCTCATAAGCACACTGTGCAGGAATTGTTGGTTACTGTTTGTAAGCAGTATCGCCAGCCAAGGTAAAAATAAAAGCAGACCCCAAAGTCACTTTCATTTCAGAACAAGCTTTGTCTGCTTGGCGTTTTGCCTCATTATATTTGTGCTTTTTGTGTGTCCATGAATTTCAAAGCTTTCTCTTAGATGTGTGCTGCTTCAGTCTGACACCTGGTTGCTACCTTTTTATTAAATCCTGACCTCACCTGTGTGCTGTGCCCAGGAACGTCCCAAACATAGTAAAATAAGAAGAAAATTAAAAAATACAGGCGGAGGGCAGTGTGTCTGTAGATAAATACACTGCTACACACTTCTGGTGGGTCCCAAGTTATAATTGACAGGGACTCTACTTCCCTTTAGCAAAATAAAAAACTACTGTAGGTGTGTGATTGAACCCTAATTATTGCTCAGCTGGAATATCTGGAATATCACATTTAAAAAGAGAATGATTCAAAATAGAGAGATCACTTTGAGAACCAGCATACAACACCACCTCTGAGCTCTAATCAAACATAAACTACACCAAACCTACACAACGAAAGCTAGCACTAAAAACTATGTGGGAAGTTACACTACTGTCTGAAACACGGAGGGCTAGACACCTGAAACTTACCTCCATTCTCATGAGGGATTCCAGATTATCAGAGGACTGGGATCAAATGGGACCAGAGTGAAAAAACAAGTCATGAGGAAAGGATTACACTGTTTGCACCATGTTCGGTTAGAAACCGCTCCTTGCAACTGGCCAAAATCCAGAATAACTCTGTGCTCTGGGACTGCATAGTTATTTAGGTTCAACTATACATCAAAAGTTCAGCTTCCCAATCGGTGGGTCTTTAAACACTGGCAAGGTAGCAATAATAAAACCGCTTTCTTTCATTTATGATGTCACATGTATTTACAAGTTATCAAGAAACTAAAAAAAGAAGTAACCTCTGCTCACCATCAAGAGACATTTTTCGGATTAATAGCATTCTACAGATATAAAAAAGTAAGACTTAATCATTTCGTCCACAATCAAATTTTGCACTCTATGAAGGTTTTACCTCCCATAAATGTACCACGGGGAAATCAGTACAAAAGCTTATTGGTGTAATTTCTCAATGTGGTTAAAGGCCTTTTACACAGCAAACATTTTGACTTTTCATTGCAGAAGTACAGGTGCTACTAATACAAACAATAACGATGCTTTTGTTTTGTTCAAGTGTCCAAGTAAGCCAAAACAGCTAAACAGAGTTCAGCCATCAATAAAAAACACCTCTGCAAAGAGTATAGGCTAAAGTTTAATGTCCAGATTCTCAAATTGCATAAAAGTTATACGTAGGAATAATTCAAAGAAATACCTTAATGCTGTTTGTATTAGGTCAGGTGAAGCAGACCTCAAATGAATGAAACTACACTGTTGAAACTTATTATGGTCTAGGTTTTGACTCAGCATACAGTAATTCAGCTTCCCTTAAACTTGAAGATTTTGAGATCTCAAGTGACAGTCTTTACTGTTACTATGTGTACAATTTCATTTCATTTTAACCATAAAAAGTTGAGAAGAAACATTCTTCCCAATTGGGGCACAAAAAACACTGTTAACTGTGATTTCATGTATTCGGCTACTACATGATCTCCAGTTAGCATGACACAGCAAACCATGCAACCTCTCTTTTTGCTGTATCATATAACACAAAAGAACCACACACGATGCTCAGATTACTCCAGTTTACCGAAATAGTATCACAGAGCCTGTGAAAACCAGGTATATTGTCCTCTGTGGCTCGGGAGGAACTAAGGAGTGACAGCAGAGAACCTAAACATGTTCAAGTTGTTCAAATTTGCAGGTAAAAATTCACTGAGCTTAACCACAGAGTGCATATATGATGTGCATTTACATGGATATGAATAACCCCTTTAAGATCAGGCTTTTGGTGTATCCTGTTTATGTGTTTGAGCATATAAACCCCACATTACATTTTTGAGAAACCCGAATATGCTAGCTGGAGTACTCTGAAAGCAAACATGGATGTGTATGGGGAATATGAATAGCTTAATTTCTCTGTGCTCACATAAACACCATGTCCTAAATATGTTCTTAACCAGCTTAAGCCTCATTAAGGGGATATTTATGTCCATTTAATCACACTCAATATTTGATACTTTCCCCATTCCATAACTTTAAATCTAAATGGAATGAAGCCAATCATTGATTCAGTGGCTTTCACTCCTTTTTTTTGGCTTACCATCCTGTCAGATAATTTACTGTAGGTCACTGTGTTGTTTACCCTGCATCCCAGGAGTAATTCAGTTCCTTATTAGCTTGCCAAATTGAAACCCAGCAGGGCTCTTACTCCACGACACCAGGAATGAGCACCACTGATCTAACCAATCCACCTGAGCGAAGAGCAAATGCCTAAGCCTGTACTGAATCCATCTGTTTGAACCACTGAGTTAAAATAACCTCACAACAATCATGCTGTAATTGTTGCATGCTTAAGCCGGCAACAATATAAACCATTATGTACCCTCTAAACGGGTGCATAAAAACCTAATTGGCTTAGGCTTACAACAAGAGTGCTTACGGGTGCTGACAGCAACAGCAGGACAGCAAGCTAATGATGACAGACAGGAGTGTAGTTTCACACTAGAGAAGTAGCTGGAATTCAGGCTGGTGATTCTAGTGGTTGTTACTTAGAAATAATGACTATAATTTAGTGCATTTTCCTTGTGACTCTATGTATTATCACTGTGTAATTGAGCGAGTCATCACCTGTGCCTCCAGCATGTCTCTCTGCAGACCCGAGCGTTCTTGCTCGGTGCTGTTGGTCCTGCGGATGGACAGGCTGTGGGACTTCCTCTTCTGCTTGGCCTGGCGGGCAGCAGCACCGCTTCCACTCTCCACTGGCATCCCTCCTTCCAAACTTGATGTTACAACAATCTGAAAGTACAAAATCATAGGATAAAAAAGTTGCCAAAAGGGTCGAGAGAACAAATCCTGGTTGAAATAATCTGGGTGCGAGTGCCTCACTCAACAACAATTGTCAGTGGAAAATATAAGACGACTCTGTTGCATTTGGCAGTGGTTGTATTTGGCAGCTTCCTTGTGTGAATGTGTGAAATGACAAAGTGAATGAGTGTGAGACAGCGTTGCTGAGTGTTCCCACTCCACACACGCATAGTGGGTACCTTAAGGTGGAACATGAGGGATTACTGGGACAGAAACTGAGAAGTGTGAAACAACAACAGAATTGTTTCTTCCTTTTTTAAAAAGCAGAAATTGGGGTTTTTTTGTGAAAAAAAAAGCTGAAATGTTTAAACTAGAGCTGGGCAAAAAAAATCAATTACAATATTCACAAGACCATCTTCTGATAGCAAAATCACTTCACCAAATCTAGTGTTCATCATATTGGACTATAAGGCAAGCTGCAACTGTGATTTTTAACAGGCATTAAATATATCAATAAGAATTAGACTTGGGCGGTATCTATTTTGTCATGCCAGGATACACAAACAAACAAACAATAAAACATAGCCTAAACGCTGAGCTGCTCGTGATAGAAGTCATTGTAACATGTATCACATTAGGTGTGTTCGGACCAGACAGTCCTGGGGACTCCTTGAGAAGAACTACTTAATGAGGAGCTCCCCCAACAACCACATACCTTCAAGGGCTTTTTCCGTTTGCATTCACCAAAGGAATACTTAAGTGACTGATGTATGCCAGCCAGCAATTAGTAAAGAAATGTCACTTGTACGCAACACATTCCCAGCCAGCATACATGCTCAGAAAAGCCTGGACTTCACTGTCGGCCCATTTGTCTGCATTTTTCATTACAAGTTGTTGTCTGTGTTTTATGTTGTCTGTTGTTTATACGACTTAACGGGTTTTTTAAAATGGCAGCATTGGTTCATGTGTCCGACCAATCACTGTACACTGACTGTGTTCCAGGGACTATGACTGTTCTTAGTAATTGCAGTGCATAAACAAGCAAATCTTCCCATCTGAAACATTGTAACAAGTTATTTTTTGGTACCTTTAATTCAAAAAATAATTTTCTGAAATGAATTATCCATTAATTAATCCATTAATTGTCTAAACTCTATTTAGATTTATATATTACCTGAAACAGACAAAAGGTGAAACCAGTAAATGTTTTACGCATTTTTGCTTAATAAATTACTTATTTTGATTGTGTTCATCCTATTGCTTCATCACTGTATTTCAGAAATCATTCAGGAAGAACTATTACTTTACAGTGTTAGGGCGTGCAACTGACTTGTTCTTCAGGATTCATGACATTAAATAAACCACACACTGTTTCATGATAGATGAGAAAGCTGATAATGATATCTCGCCTATTCCTTGCTGTAACTGGAGTTTAATAATTAATTTTACAATTATCCTGCATGTTGTAAGGTTTGTCATGATCAGATAATAATGATGTATGCTATCATATTGACTGCTAAGAGGAAAGCAAGCTTCCTATTTTCTCATCTTATTTTGCTCACTTCAAAAGACATACGTACAGTGACATACAAGACTCAATCACATGTGTATCAGGATGAGGGAGTCATTGTTATGGATGCTCATATCACAGTAATGACACACCATAAGCCTGGCTCCAGCTGTCACTAATCTTTGCCCTTGAGTTGACATAAGAAGGTCTATGGACACATGAATCAGTAGCCTGCCTCTAACAAACACAACACTGCTTCTGTCATCTGTAAGTATCTCTTTCTGCTGACATAAGAAACTGCCTTGTGTAACTTAGCTATCAGACACCTTGGTGACTGGTAGTTAGTTCCTCTTGCTGACAGGGATATGGAAAAAACAAATTTTGGCTACATTGTGTTTCGGTACATTTGAGGACAAGATACGACAACTAAGAATGAATACAATTCCCTAGCTGTACGTGAATATTAACACTAGCAAGTCTAGACAGTGCTAGTCTCGTTGAAGTGCGATGCTCAGTGCTCAACATAGCGTTAAGCTAAGCAAAGCTACCGTTATCCCGATTAGCTGGTGGTGCCCAACATGCTAACGGTAATAGGCTAACGACAGGACAACCTTCCCAAACATGGAATTCAACTTACCAGAAAGTCTACAAATACGAAGTTTTATTCCGGGATATTGTGGGGAATGTCGCCGTTTCTAACATTTTCTTCTATGTGCGAGAAAGCAACGCAGGTTTTTTTTTGTCCAGGATCCGTGTTGACAGTTGACGAGCTCCGCTACGTGAGAGAAGATAACGAAGCCAATTCCGGCCCGGGGTTTTTCACAATAAGAGCCACCTTCATCAGCTGTAGTATTGCTCCAGACCACACTCCACTCAAAAAGGGTTAGTTTCTTGATTTCTAGGATATGTTTACACGCCAACAATATATTATACCTGCTTGTAAATTCGGCATATTAGAAACCTACCAACGGGATTCAATTTATGAATAAAATCTGAATCTTAAAATGATTTATAGTGGCACATTTAAGCACGTATTTTTTCTGAACATATCCGACGACCATTTTACACATAATGTGATTTTATCGTTACTGTAGATGCTTCTCCAACTTGCTGGATGAAACAGTTACTGTTGACGGGTGTACAACATGTTCACTCGACTTTTATCACCTGTATATCTGACAGATGCAATGAAACACTTAAATTGTTAAAAATTCATGTAGAGATTGGTCTGGCCGCTTTCTCCTTGTGAGAAAACTGAACATCGCCTATAATGATAAAATAATCATAACCAATTTTGCAACTCAATAATAGTTTCATACAGGTGAATTTCAAACACACAAAGATAAATTCAGATATGACTTCAGTTATTCAAGACAAAAGAGGAATTTCTGTAAAACAACCTGTCAGACAGTTTAGTTGAGGTGTATTTATTTGGCTCCCTTGTTAATGTATGCCACTCAGAGACATGCAAAGGAAGTATCATCATCACTTTATCCAAATTAAACCCAGTATTTCCTGAGTCACAGACAAGATGTAAGGCATTAAAGGTCATTTACTGCTTTGCCAAGAGAGAAACTTGTGAAATTATACAAAATCAGTTTAACAACTGAATATGTGACATATTTTTTGTTAATCAGGGTGTATGTTTGATCATGGCAATTGCAGTGACAAAATAAAGATATTAACTATTACACAACTGCTTTCTGAGTCCCTGCTTTTCCATATAGTTTTGTTTTCTGAGATCCACAGTTTTACTTTTGAGAGCAAAACCTTGAAAGCGGACAAATAAAAGACATTGTTATTATTACATATCATTTAAATGGGTGGCGCATTTTCCAGTTTCCTGGCTTCAAAGGGAAACATATTTCATGTTCCTCTTTTTACAGCTGGGGAAAATGTAGCGAATGAAGACATAAACTATCTCCACACAGAAGCCTCTCCAAAAGAGTGTCCAGGTCTCAACAGTCCAGAAAAAGCAGTTTTATCTGCGATCAGTATTGCCAGACTTCCTCTTCCCAGCCAGGAGGTGTTTGGGTTTGAGGTCAAACACATGTCTGTCTGCCTCTCCCTTCTTGCCTTGGCGGTTCATTCCTTTCTGGGAGTTCTTCATCATCGTCTTTGCCTTCTTTACCATCTGAGGAACAAAGAAAGAAAACACTGACATGAGTTCTCTTCAAATTAAGATTCAGAACCAGGGATTTATTTAATGCACCACTGTCTTGTTCTTACATTTACAAGAGTTTTTCCAACATGTGAATGTGTCTGTGTACATATATCATATACAAAACCTTCATTTGTTTTGATGTAAAACATTTTTTAACATAAAAGTGTTTGGAGGTGGAAACAAAGACACTGTCACCTACCTTTTTATCTCGTAATCCAGACTGATCTCGTGGTGGACGGGAGGCACTCTGGCTACGGGTTTTGGAGGTCGGAGGGGCTGAAGCTGAGGCTTCACGCTTACGTTTCTTTGTGACACTTCGGGACCGCCTGGCCTGTTGAGCATAATGGCTCTAAAAGTACAAGAAGAAAGGTTTCAGGCATTCACAAGGACTACTTCATGATCTTCATGGTCTTATTTGGCAAACAACTGAACTCTGTCATGTTCTGGGTTGAGATATGTTGGCAAAAACAGCATGGAACAAAAACAACTGAAATAACTACTGAAAAACTGAAAATTTCCATCACAGGCCTTTCTACAGGATGTGAAGTTATGATCCAACGGCAAAGAAAGGTAACACAGAAAGTTAAAGTAATAAGTTACAACTTAAAAACTTTAAATTCCTTTAGTTTTTCCTCAAATTCATTATTTTAGGAGTTTGCAGTGCAACAGGATGGGAGCCCTGACCGCTGCAACTCCAGAATTACAATTCCCATTAATATTGTAGTCACAACTCTAAGTACAGAGTACTTCGTTTACATGTCAGACTTTCTAAAAAGCTTTGATATGTGATATCTTCCCATTTAATTATGAGACAGGACATATTTCACATAATTAATTCAATTTTACCACACAATAGAAGCAATTATATATCCTGTAGGCTCGGATCTAAAGAAAGAACTTACGTCATCCTTGTCATCCATGTCCAGCCCAAGGCCACCCATCTCCTTCTCTAGCTTCTTTCTTTCAACCTGTACATATCAAACACAGACACATACACAGTGGAGTTAGGGGTTATTCTGAGTCAAATCTAAGCTCATGTTACAAAAGGCAACCATTTCATTTTATAAAACAAAATGTTAAATGCCAATGGAAACACTTTTTGGAAAAACCTATAACAAACCCTCCACTAGGTGACACTCTTAGAGAAGGCACACTTGAGGGACTTTTCAAATTAGAATGCCCACAGGATGCTGTCAAAATGTAATGGATTATTTCTCTGGTGTAACTCTTGAAATTTGTCTGCTTTTTCAAATAATTCTAATTAAACTGGTGCACTGTTTTGCTTTAAATGTCAGGGAAAAACACTATTAATATAGTCGCAAAATTTGAAGGTCTCACACCAGAGCATACAAAGCATCTCCAATCATCTCAGCCAAGAAGGTTACGTTTCCTGTTTAGTTTGTTGGTTTGTTTGATTGATTGTCAGCAGGGTAATGGAAAAACTATTGTGGAAGTGTGTGGCATGGGCCAATGAAGAACCCATTAAATTCTGAAGTGCAGTTGAATCACAAGGCAGATACACAAATTATTTTTTGCTTTTGCCAATGCTGTGAAATAGGGCATTTGGCTTTGGTGGAGATCTGCGCTCTCCAAGTGGCCGTCTAGTTTAGAGGGGAGACCAAACTGGACATCTGTAGTCTTTTAGTGTGTTATATCTCAGTTATATTCCTCATACCGTATGTTAACATTTCTCTCTGCCTTCCAACATTGATAATTATGAAATAATACCAACATGTATATAAATCAGAGAAGGTATTTACTATTTCTTGTATGGCTGAAGTTTTCTGTTGTCAGAGGTAGGTTGGCAGCAGGCCAATATATTCACAGTATGCTCACCTTGGTGGCAGTCCTAGGCATGCGAGGCCCGTGCACGTCCTTCTCTTTGGACTCCATGACCAAGAGCTGCTTCTTCTCGCGAATCTGTTTGGCTAGAACGCGGATCTCCTGCATCTCCTCATCCTCGCTCTCATCATCAGAGTCGTACTCCCCGGCTCGCTCCTTCAGCTCCTCCTCCTTCTCCAGCAGCTCCAGTTTCTGTAAGGCAGAAAGAAAAAAAGACCTCAAGATGTTTAGAAGACAGAAAAATGAATACAAACACAACATTTACATTTCTCAACTTTGCTCCTCTAGGAAATCAAGGAATTATTATATAGATTTATTATTATTATTATTATTATTATTATTATTATTATTATTATTATCATTATTATTATTAATATTATTATATCTTTGTTTAACTAGGTAAGCCTCACAGTATCTTGGCAAATATAGGCAGATATAAGTTTAAGATCAGCAGAAAACAGGTGATAGAAATAAATAACCCAAGATCAGACATAACAAAATTAATATGCAAAACCACAAATAAAAATGTAGAGACTGGTCAAATGTAACAGACAAAACCATCAATAAATAAATAAGACATGTATAAAAGGTGTCATATAACAAATATTATCAAAACAAACAGCCAAAAGAGATAGGGCTGAGTATAAATAGCAAATATTGAAAATCTTTGCAAAAGAATAATTTTTCCCAATTATAAAACGTTTTGTAGAGGGCCCAGGGAGCAAAATAAAAAAAAACCCCTTTATGTAGTTCAGTGTGGGCTTTGGAGACTGCTAATAGAGATGAAGGGCATAACTGTTGACCTATTTTGGGGGAATATATTTACACAAAATATCTATAACAGGAGTGTCCTGGCCAAGATAGCTGCACTACATATAACATAACCTATAAAATATATAGCATGGCATATATAGGCAGACCAAGTGCTAAATACGGTAAGAGTCAGGTATGTGGGGCACATCATCAGGACTGATCTATGTGATGATGACAATGTGCGGTTCCAGCATTGCAAAGTGTATGTACAAGCCAATACACTGGCATGTAAACCTTATATTTGTACAGATGTTAAAACAGCTCTTCTAAAAGTCTTTCTGATCTGGCAGTTCAATAAAGTGATGCTCTACAAGACAAAAAAAAGGACCAATAGTCAAATATTCACATTGAACAGCCAAATCCAATTTGACTGACAAAATTCTGAGTCAGATACATTACAAAACATGAGAGACAGACTTGCAATAAAATATGAAGAGAATAGTCAAGGTTCACAAAACAAAATACACAACATGCTTGTGGTGCAAACATGGCTTCAGAAATAAGAGTAAACTGGTGTCTTCAAAAAGGAGCAACTAACTTGAATATAGAAAAACAAGTGATGGAGTTGAGTTCTTGTACTGTTATCTTTCTCACTATGGATATATTCCTCATCCTCCAACACTAACATACAGTTTTGTAGCAACTGGGTGCAACAGATGTGTTGTAAACGAGCCAGTAACTTGGTTAAAAAACAGTTTCTGGTTCCAGTTGATGATGTGAAATATTTCCACTTAGCTCCGTAGACTCACCTTCATAATTTCAGGATCAATGTAATCTGCAATGTTGTGGCCCTCCCACACTTCAGGGATCTTATCATGCTTCTCATCCTCGTTCATCAGATCCCAGTATTCTTTACAAAACAAACAAAACGACATCAGCATGGCAGATATAAGTATTTACTTTCTACAGTTTACTTTGCTGTTGAACTGAAAACACTTCTTACTCTGTAGGTCCAGAACGT